GCGATATCGTACACGCATCAGCGAGCAAACTTTTGTTTCTGTTTTGTTGTTGTTATTTTTTTTTTTCGTTTCACGCCGCTCGGTACATATATGAAATATGCAAATTTGTCATATCGCGCGCGTCTGTTATACGATATTGTGCCTTTTATATATGAATGATTCGTGCAAAGTCACCCGACGACGACGACGACGACACATTGCGATGCGTCGCTGCTATTATTATTTGCGCGAGACACGAGTACGTATAATTAAGACGTCAAGTGTCATTCAACAATGACTCGGTGTTATATTGTATCAGACGTCTTCGGTAAATAACAATATAAATATAGAATTTATGTAACTCTTTTCATCCCACATAATATCGGTAAATTAGTTTCGCGGTATATGTAGATGCACATTTCATCGGGACAGTATAACGAGATAAATTGCCTTCAATTAACCGTTTTTAAGCTTCGAGCTCCGACGTCGTCGTCGTCGTCGGCAGCGGGACTTGACAGAATTATACTCGAGCGGTATACAGTACTTACATATTTTATTCATTATAATTCGCAGCCATCGCTATGCATAAAGTTTTATAATATGGAAAATGATTTTTCGCCTCGTCCCGCCGCGCGTTCGCATGAATACATTTGCTCTTTATAATAGCCTCTCGCTGTTCTCCGTGAAAAAGTATAAAAGCTCGATGTAAAATTCTCCCGCGTTCATGATATAACCTTATAAAGCGCGTAAATTCATGGAACGAGAAATACAATTTTATACATATCGTATATAAAATAATCCTGGTTATTATATCAAAAATTCAACGAGTTAATTCGTTAACGGTATTTTCTCGAATAAAACGAAAATAAAGGAAAAACAAATCCAGTTCTATCGGTGTCCGTGAGAGCTTTCATCGATTTTCTCATACTTGCGTATACGCTGTAAAAAAAAGGGGGGCTGCACGAGAGATAGAGGAATTAGCAGCGCTCACCGGGCGCGAAAGGTCGAAGATTCGCGGCGAGACATTAAGTTATACTAATGGGGGGGCTTGGTCGGTACAAGTATAGATCAAAAATTAAGCTTTCGCGCGAGGCTTTTCATAATGTAGTTATTAAGCGCGACGACGACGACGACGACGACGAGGTGATTTATCCGTGCAGCTGCGATACGACGAAAGATTATGACCCCTTCCTGCTGCTGTCTGACGGGGAAAGGTTTAATACAGACGAATCGACGCGCAGCAGCAGCAGCAGCGAAATAAATATTCGGACACGCGATATATCGTGTATAGCGTATGTGCTTTCACGTTAATGAAAAGCTCGGATCCGCGCGCGACATAGTTTTATATACAGCATACACAGCGTTTATACTCGCGGACTATATTTTTCCGATATTATGTAAATATATAAAAAAAAAGCGATCGCTTCTTCGCTAAAATATAACAGGGAATTTTGAAAGCCGTGAGCCGAGCCACGAGCTCGTTAACGTAATATGTAAAATTCATTTGAAATATCGCACGAACGCCGTTCAATGGTTTCGAATATAAAGCATAAAAAAATTGTATTAAATAAAATACAAATACGAAAATTCGGTTTATGAAGCTTGCAACAAAAAAAACCACTCGAGCTTTTTGGAGAGCTGCTGCTCTGCGGATCGTCCCAAAATCAAACACACGCGAAATTCACACGCGCCTGCAGTTTCGTTGAAAAAAAAGCGAAAAAAAAAAATAGCTGTTTTCCTCGAGCTGCACGTAGACGCGCGTGACAAATTGGAGTGATCCCTTTGAATATACACGCATATTCAGAGTCGAGAGCCGAGCCGAGCTGCAGCGACGTTGCGCGATATACTATACGCGAGCTTGCAAGCTCGCACACGCGCTAATGACCCCGTAACCCGCGTTATACACCTTAGTCTACACACAACACACACACTATATTTATACGTATATCGATCGTGTGGAGCGAGAAGTTTTACTGCTATTTTTTTTTTGCTCTCTCGATCATCGCACACGTAGGTTATACGCGTGTGCATTACGAAGCATATAAAAAGCTCGCGCTCGAGAGGTACTCGAACGCGTAGGAAAAAGAAAGTCGATTATCGTCAATTAGCGATACATTAATAAACTCCCGCGCGACCGTCTTGTATTCCATCTATATGAATATTATCCTCGGTATACAAATACGTTTGTATCTCTCAATGTTATATCGTACGTTTTTAGCTCTCTCTCTCTCTCTCTCTCTCTCGATGCGGCTCTCTATATGTAAAATCGATATGGCGATATTCATGGCCAGCGTGTGTGGCGCAGCAGCAGCAGAAGCAAGTAATACACGACAAATACGATGAAAGAGTAAAAAAGCTCAGCCGGGGCGCGAGTAGCAAAGTACAAAATAGCATCAATTGCGAATACTCGCGCGGCATTGAATTTCCGGTCACGCCCGCGGGGCTCTCTCTCTCTCTCTATACAGAGTCGTCGTATAATAATTTTTTTTTTTTTTGCAGTAGAGCTGATATAGGAGAAAAAAGAGAACGTCAACTTTTCGCGGTGGTGGAAGTTCTTTTTTGGTCAAGTTTTCGGTTGCGCGACTGCAGAAACGCAATTGCGCGTCGATTCATTCGTATATATGTGTGCGTGTGCTCTTTCGGGAGAAAAAAATATGCTTCATGTGTGTGTGTAGCGATGAAAAAAAATAATCAGGATTTTATTTGTTACTCGAATAGTAATGATAATAATAATACAACCGTGAATTCCCTAACTAATCGGCTTAGCATCGAAAAAAAAAAATATCCTAGCTAAAAAACAGTCTTGTCGTCGAAGTTGTTCGATCATTCATTTTTTCTTTCCCAAATTTTTCTATCGTCATCGTCATCATCATCATCGTGGTTAGTGGTCTTTATAGGCCCGCCACCGCCGCGCTGAAGGCGTCGCAGCTTGCGCTCTTGTCGGCGTTGAGGATGTCCTTCACCGCGTCCTCGATCGCCTTGTCGGCGTAGACGAGAACCTGCTGCTTGACGATGTCGGGCAGGGGCTCGCGCGTCTTGATATTGATACCCTTGGCCTTGGACTTGATGTTGGTGAAGGTGACGCGGCAGGGCGACTGGCTGTAGTGCAGATTGATGGTGCCGGCCAGGCGGACCTCGGTCACGGTGGCGCTCGACTCTTTGAACGCCACGTTGATGAAGCCGATCTTGGCCTTTACGAAAGCGATTAGAATTATGGTGGCGATCGTGTCTCGAGCTTTTATTTTTTTTATTCTTTGGTTGAACTACTCACCTGAGAGCTGGAGAAACGAACGTGAACGTTGGGAACGACGACTTGGAATCTGATGGCGGCGTTTTTACCGGTGCGACGCACCTTGATGTCGGCGATCTGTCTCAAGTTTCTCATGTCTCTGCGGAGGAGGAGATGACATTTTTTTTTGGTTATAGATCCAATCATCGATCATCGTGAGGATATTTGTTTTTTATTCTCGTATACTCACTTGATTTGGCCGTCTCTCAGCGTGTAGGTTATCGGTATGAAGCTGAGAAAGCTCTGCTGACCCTTCACCAGGTCGACGTCGACCACACCGGGATTCTTTTTCGCCACGATGTTCAGCAATTCCTTCTTCAGCAGATTGAAGCTGCATTTCTGTTTGATAAAAAACATTCGTCGTACGATTATAATTACGCGTTTTGTCGAAATCGCGGATGATCGATCGATTTCGTACCTGTCCGCAGTTCTGCTGACTAGATAATTCAATATTGGCAAAGAAGTATACGCAGAATGTCAAAAAAATTACGCTTCTCGTTCTCGTCTTCATTGTTGCTTACTGTCTGATATGTGGCAGATAATACTGAGATAAAAGTCTGAAAAGAAAGTGCGAGTTATGTATCGTTCGTTGCATTTTGTTTAATTATAAAAATGGCGAGTCATAATTGTGAGATGACGTTTCTTTTTTGATGCTAAACATCGTGCAGTAGATTTTGTGTAGAAATTTTATAAACAAATATTGTTTTGTCTTCGTTTTGGTAATAATTATCGAGTCATTATCGTACACAAACACTCCGGAAATAAACAAATACAATTTATCAATTGCTTGGCCCCTCGAGCGCGTAAATAATGAAGCAAATGTTTCGAAAAATTGTTCTCGAAAGTGATTGAAGAATCGATGAATGAATTCATCAAGCTAAAATAAAAAATGAAAACTTTTCGAACTCTTTTTCTTTCACAATTTTTCCGATTATATTTACAAGAGAATCTTGTAGTTGCTTAAAAGAATATAAATGTAAAATTTTCATAAAACACGCTTTGAAAATTTTCTATCACGTGTTTTTACACGATGAAAAAATACATCACAAAATTTTATCACTCCAAGAAATGTACAAAAAAAAATGATTGTTTCCATACGAATTCACTCACATATTTTTTAATACAAACAAGAACTACTCGTCAATTTCACTAAAAATGCGTCTACTAGTAAACTCACATAATCTCGCAATTTTCTGTAAAAATCTTGAAAACACTTACTTTTTTACACTGAGACTAACATTGAAAAAAATTACAATTGGAAAAGTGCGATTACTCACCTGATGTACTCGACGCCGTCGAAGTTTACAATAAAATGTCTGAAGCAAAAAGTCGGATGCCGACATTTATATATCAATCGACGATCTGTTGTAATTGTTTACCGTAAATTCTCATCTTTTGATTGTGTTAGAGAGAGAGAGAGAGAGACAGAGCAGCAGCTGAAGCAAAGTAAAAAAAAATTTTTTGGCGCACACATACACACACAACAGTGTTTGATCAGCGTTTATTTGTACAACAAACAACGATTATAAAAGTGATTTATGCTTTATAGCTCACCTGCTTCCTCAAATACAATATGATTTTTTTGAAGTATTTTCGAAAAAAATTTGATTGATCGCATCGTTTTCGTAAAGCTTCACAGACATACGAAAGCGACTTATTTTGGTACATTCGATTCGAATTCATTTAGTACGTATATGCATCAAGGGTACAAACGCATTTTTTTGCTATTTAAAACTTTTTTTTATTGAGGTCGAAAATAAAATTAAAACAAAAAAACATATGTCAACAATATAAAACGATCCATCAGTGCGGAAGACGATCGGCGACTATCGCCAAAAACGGCTCGCACTCGACTCCCGACTCGGAATTGAAGATCGTCGTGGCGGCATCGGCTAGGGCCGGATCGAGGTAGCGCATCGCCTGATCCTTCACCCAGTCGGGCAGATACTCCTCCGTGGTGATCTTGACGCCCGTGGCGTGGGTCGCTACGTCGCCGAACGTCACTTTGCACGGGCTCTGGCCACGATCGAGGATGATCGCGAAACTCATCTCCACGGCGAAGATCTCGGCTCTGGGATTTTTAAAGGAAAAGCTGAACCAGCCCAAGCTGCCCTGTCGATGCCAGAAAAAATGAAAAAAGAAAGGAAAAATTATAATCGATCGGCTATCGCGATTGAGTTGTTTTTTTTTTGTCTGTGTGTACACGTAACTATCGCCGTAGCCATTTTTCCCAGCATATTGGAAGCTTTGACGCGGAGCTTTATGGTAATGCGCTCGCCTTCCTTGTTTATCTCGACGTCGCCGTCTCTCGCGATTTTTCTCACGTCGCTGCGTACGAAAATGCATATATATATTTTTATCATCAATCGCATTGTATCAATATTTATATCGATGCGCGCGCTGCACTCACGAGATCACGGAATCTCTCAATTCGTAATTGATTTTAAATCCCCAAACTCCTTGGCTGCCCTCGATCAAGGGAACTCGGAGGTTGCCGCTGTTGTCTTTTACAAAGATCCTGAGCAGCTGCTTTTTCAACAAATCGAAAACGCAGTCCTGAAAATAATTATTAAATAAATGATCTATTTTTGGTGCACCATTGAGCAATCCTGTGTACGATGTATAAATACCTCGTCGCAATTGGCATTTCGATCTGAAAATATATACAGAGACGCGCATAAATTATGCAGATATACGATGAAATATATTAATAATAATTCAATTATTTACTCGGAGGCGGTAGCTTGGACGAGACCAATGGAGCGCGATGGGCCACGACGACGCACAAAACAAAAACGAGGATCAGATTGTTGTTCATTATTTCTTTCTTTCCGCGCTCGTATAACAAAAAGTCTTCCGTGACGCTTATATTTATAAGCTTCTTTTTTTCTTTTACATCGTCACACGCGTAGAGTCAATGAAAAAAAAAAAAATTAGTCAGAGACACGTCGCACGTGGCAGTCGTGATGTGTGTTTAAAACTACAACTTACAATGATAATATAACCGAATAGTTGTAAATCTCGATACTACCGTACTATAAGATACGTAACGATTCGTCATTGTTCAATATTATTTACCAATACTCGTGTCGAGTTATACACATCTTATAAATTTTCTCAACTTGGACCACCCCGTCGGATTTTATTATATCCTCGACTAATTTTCTGTGTGTGTATGTGTGTTTCTGTGCGCTTCACTGCTGCATCGGGTATATAGATGATTTTATTGCCTCGAATACTGCAGGGATAGCATCGATATTATTATATCCCCCGCACGATTGCCCCCTGTTATACTGGTATATACTCGTATACCGAAGCCATTCGACCGTATACGATACGCGCGTACTGTTATTGTTACTATGGGCTCGACGTTGAGACGAAAAAAAATCATTTCGATGTTCGCAATGACGAAGAAAAGAACAACGATTCTTATTTTGTAATATTTTCATGTGCTCAGCGACGCGATTCGATTGCATATCCTGTTAATGCAAACAGAGATAAATTACACGTATTATTATTTGTACTTCAGATTCAAATATGTTGCACAATGATTCGCACCGAAGTAATATTGTCATTTTTCTGCTCGACAGAGACCACTGAGAGAACTCGGCCGACTGTTGGGTAGCTCCAGCGGCAGCGCCTCTGCCGCGTCCAATAATAATAACAACAACAATACAACCGATAATACCGAAGTCGTCGCGACAGAAGCTCAACGGCGATCGTCGTCATGCGAAGACTCGACGACCGCACCGGTCGTGACTCCGGCCGGCCTGCCGCTGCTCCAGGTCTGGCCGAGCGACTCGCCCCGAGCCGTGGCCGACGACGACAACGACGAGACCTCGGCCTTCGTCTATCCAGAGGCTGCGCAGCAAATACAACAGCAGCAGCAGGACGACAGCGGCATCGATTCCATACAGGTGAGAGCTAGACTCCTCAGGGAGTCGCGCGCGTGCACTCATTTCTATGCACGACGTAGAGTATATTATTATACATATTGTCAAAAGTTTCGAAAACTTGTGCATGTGTGTTATATCGTATGCATGTCTCGCGTCGTAAGGGGCGTGGGTGGATATTATAGTAGAGAGCGTACATTGTCGTGTCAAAATCATCTTTGAATGCGCTGCGGAATGTAACTTTACACACACTCGCGACTCGGCGACGTTTCAAGGTTGACCCGCCAGTAGCTCTTGGACTTGCACACAAATATTCGACGAATATTCCGTAGAGTAGAAGTTTAATTAAAGTCCGCGTGAACTGTCCGATTCCGTTCAGTTAGCGTCACGTAATCCGAGCGTAACTGGAAAAGAAAATAATAAAAACTAATGTCGCAGAATAAACGTCGTGTATCAAAGATGTGTTATAAACTTTTACGAGACAGATACGCGCGGTGATTTACATATTAGTGTATCGCATATAACTCGCGAAACTTTGTTTCCATAATTTATATGATACGTACGTATAACGCGACGGTTGAAGAGTTATATCATCCGATTTGTAAAACAATCTCGTTAATCATAAATTTCCCTTTTTTTTCTTGAATAGTTGAAAAAAAAAAAAAAAATAAATAAATAAATAAAAGCTTGTCGATAAAGCTCGATCATACAAAATCATCGAGGCATTAATACGTCCGATACAGATTATATTAATACACGCGATCGCGTCCTACGCGTTTGTAATATTTATAGTTGCGCGCGGATAATATTAGCGGCAGCAGCGCGCGACATCGTTTTGCGTTGGACACGATCCGATACGGAATTATTACACGCGTTCCTCTCGTGCATAATTAATCCCTATTCGTAAATAATGTATCCGAGCTTATTAAAACAATGGGCTCTCGATTCGTGTCGTTGCGATATTAATGGATTCGGCATAAATACCTATGATTATCATGCATACGACAAAAAAAAAAGAAGAAGAAGAAGAAACGACGTGTACGAGTTGTAATTTTGCGCTCGCGAAACGTGCAACGGTATATAAGGATGGGTCAGGGTGATCTGCGCGAGAGAGACCTTGACACATACCATTCGGAAATGTATATTATATATACTCTGCTTTGTGCAGCACGAAATTTCGATCTTGTACCGACTCTTTTTTTGGTTCGTTCGTTTTTTTTTATCTATGTATGCACATTTTTCTCTCTCTTTCTCACTCCTTCCGATTCCGAATGTGTGTATACACACAACAACGTCGACGCGGTGTAATAATGGACTATCTACACGATAACCGTAATAAACAGATCGCGACACGTGTATGCATGACTCTCGTAATTTTTTTTATTTTTGTTTTTCACGTGCTGCTGCAGCTGAACAACACAAAACTGTCGCAGGCTCGCGAGCTCTATATATACAGCGCACGAATCACCACCGCCGCCGCGAATGACGCAGGCAGCAGGCAGGCGGCCACGCGGGCGAAACTATTATTAATTGAATTTACAACTACCACGAGTATATATATCGTCGTTCCCTTTTACGAGCTCGAGTTTTGGCGTATATGTATCAATGAATAATCAAATATATCGCGTTACAAACTGACGTACACAAATGCGCCGCCGGTGCGCATATATGAACGTATACACATAATTATTAATAATAATGCACACGAGCAGCAGCAGCAGCACTCGAGCGTCGACAGGTACGTACATACGTACACAAGTGTTAATTGAACCGAGAGCGAATTTGTTGTATACATATAAACACAGAGAGAGCGTAATCAATGAGATGTAAATTCCTCGCCGCACGATCGCCGCGTCGAAACGCCGCTCGCGGTTTTATTCCATTATTTAAACATCGACGAACGAGAAATATAATTCTCGTAAATAATGTTTGATCGCGATTTATGATATATGATGTAATTTGTACAATCGAGAGACAGGCAGCGGAAAAAAATTCCAAACAAGCAGTTTACGATATGTTTTAAAATGTATATTATGATCGCCCATGTAACTTCCTCGGCGATCGGCGCGCAAATCAGTTTCCGTAACGTTCCAGAAAATCGCGAATCGTGACGCAGAAAATTTTCCATCCACAACCATCGTCGTTCCCCCCTCGATGATCGATGTATAATTATATGTGATGCAATTAATGTTTACGCACTCGTTGCACCGATCAAACACGAGTATATCAAAAAATTAATGAATCATTACGTATTATTATTAATTTCTCGAGTCGCTCGATTCTTGCCGCCAGTCTAACGCATGTGTTTTTTTTCTCTTTTTCTCGACACTTATCTCTCCTCCCCCGCCACCCCCTCTTCTTCTGTCTGTCTGTCTATCTTCCGTTAACGAAAAAAAAGCGCTTGGCTGTCGCCACGGTGACGAAACTCAAGGCCTCGCCCACGCCGACGGGCGTCGTCTCCACGACGACCTGCGTCGTCGTCAACAACTGCAGCAGTCCCTCGACGACGCCCGGACAGTCGCGCAGGCCGTCGCTGCTGCATCCGGACCACGCGAGGATCCACGGCCTGCATCATCATCATCATCATCATCACGGTGCTGGTGGTCATCATCACCATCATCATCATCATCATCAACCCCATCATCATCATCACCATCATCATCACGATAAGAACGGCCGAATGTCACCGGATCGGGGCTCGATCTTGGACGGCGGCGAGGCGGATCCGGCGGATCGGCCCCCGAGCCCGTCCAGCTCGACCACGAGCAGCCTCAAGTCCATGCCCAGCTCGGCCGTTACCTCGACCCATTCGAACGAGCGTCGGCGCAGCAGCAGGTTAGTGGCTATAAGCCAAACAAAGGCTTATATGCTTTTATATATATAGAGAACATGTGTATGTGTGTGTGTGTGCACGAGAGTGCGAGGAAACGTATGTATAGATCGTATGAAAGAGGATTGTCGCGGGATTAGTGGGTGGGAAACTCTGTGGGCTCGAACTCTCTCGGGGGGGTTGGTTGGTGGGTGGGTGGTAGTGGTGGTGAGAGAAGCCTGTTGCCCTAGTCCGGACGAAAAGCAACAGGCGCTCGCTCGTGTGCCTCGTGTGCCTCATTTTATTGTTCTATTTTTAGAGCGAGAAAATAGCACTATAACCCCCGGCTGGTGCGCGGCACGTGCTTGAATAGGGTCTTTAAAGTTTCTTTCTTTCTTTTTTTTTTTTGTTAATTAAAGGATTTTATTGGCAACTCCGAGTAACGAGATCTTATCTTGGGGTATATAACATATTATCGCCGCGTCAAAGTGGCATATAACGCCGTGTGGTGGATGTCCTTTTTGTGACGAGAGAGAAATAAAGTTTATTTTTTGTTTTTTTTTTCATCCGGAAAAACCTTCGATCCATTACTCGTTTCTCGAGCTGCAGTGCATATGTCGGGCGCGCGGGACCAACTTTTATTGAATCAGGCCTTGAATGACGCGACTCTGTAACGAAAACATTGAAGTATTTTTGAAAAAAAAAAAATATAAAATCGAATTTTTCTGCTTACTTTTCCATTTCCTTTCATCGTATTTTATAAAAAGTGTGTCTCTTATTGAACGCGCGCCGAGCGAAATAAAAAGAAGAGACCGTGATTGCGCTCGCAGTTATAATGACAAATATTTAGTTTCGATGAATAAAAATTGTAATAATAGTAAAATATATGATTTCAATTGATATTTATTTGCGATCGATGGTCCAAAAACTATAGAAAATTTCACTCGTATTTACTCTGGTTTTTTCAAAATAAACGCTGCATCGACTATTACTTTAAATATTAAAAGTGACGAATGGGAATAACTTGAAATATTGAATAAATTTTTATGTCCATTGAATAATTTATATAATGTAATAATCAGTTATTCGTAGAGAGCATTTTAAATTAAACTGTCAACATTCGCAAAACGAATGAAAATTGAATGCGCGTCAAGTCGATTTTTACCGAACCGAAAGAAAAAAAAAATTATAAAAAAAGTGAAATTATGCAAGTTATCTTTTGATAAGAACCATCTTGTGTCATAATAAGCTCTTACACGAACGTAAGTTTTCATCAGCCAACAATGCGATTTCCGCTCGGATTGCGTTTGCACCAATATTAATTTAAAGCTCTCTCTCACACACATCCGGATTTTTTTCAATATTATTGCTGCGGCTATATATAAATCGCACACACCAACGGACATATTTTATTCATCGGTGTGAGTTTTTTTTGCGCATCGCGAACAGATATTTTTCACGCTGAGCTGAGTTGAAAACAAAAAAAATAATGCCTTCGTACCACTTTCGTCTAAATTACAATATACTGCATAGAAAAAAAGGCACTCGAGGACACGCGTTGAAAACCTGCGCGCGGCACATAGTAGTAACAGTATATCCTTGGAATATTTAAACAAATTTTTTTGATCAATCAACTTTGGAAAAAAGTTTCTATACACCAGGGAGATATTTTTAAAATATTTCCGAATGAAAAATCGATTTATTGATGAAACCAAGTATTCAAGTGATGATATTGTCAGGCATGTGCCCTTTGTACTTACAAATAACTTGATTTTATGCATGTAATATTTGCAAGTGACCTTACAAAGTAGTCGCGCGCTCGTACGCTTGACACAACGTTAATTAATTAACACGACGTCAAAGAGCTGCCGGCGTAATTGTAAGCGCAAAAATATCACGAGATTTAATTATAGAATATATACCAAATTAAAGAAACTGATCGGTACGTGTCAAGATAAGATCGCTTTGATTTAATTTTTTTTTCAAATCAACAAATGATAAATTACATTTCAAGCGACCACGTGAAAATTATTATTGTAATTATTGTCATTATACACAATATAATAATATATAAGACACAAGTGAGATTTTTTCTGAGAGGGTGTGAACAAATAACTAAATTTTGTTTCTGTAATAAGAGTGAAGGTTTATTAAAAATTCTTAAAACTATATTTACAATTATAAACCTCTCTTACCTGTAATAAGAGAAACGACAATTAAAGCTAATTGATCAACTCTCTTTAAACACATGTACGCAACTGACGATTCAGCTCACACATTCATATTCGAATAATATTTACAAACTTATATGAGGCGCGCACAACTGATACAGCGCATCCATTATAATTTAAAGAAACTAAGTTTTCTTTAAAAATATTAATTTTGGTTAAGAAATAAGGTAACTTTCGTTTGCTTATTGTTTTATTTAATCGTTTATGAACTGGACTGAAATAATAACTGAAGTAAAATTTATTTTACACTGAAAAAAATCTGATGGGTGGATTCAGTAAAGCAAAACAAAAGTTTTTCTGAAGGGGGCACACCTGTGTTAAATTCTGTATTATCCTATGAATTAAAAAACATTAAAATAAAATGTTAATATAGAATTTTTTGTTTTCGATCTAAAAATTATGTTTTCATAACTCTTTGTACATCAGAAAACATGTGTCTAGTAGCTTATACAATTTAAATTATCCCAGGATTTATCTATAATGACGTATGATTCCGAAAACCTGTGCTGCATGAAATTGAATGCATTTTTGAATCTGAAAATTTTTGTTTAAATTTTCTCTTTAGTTCAAATGAAACAGAATTTCAAGAAAAGGCTAGGAAATTTTGTTGCATACTAAAAAAATACAACAAAAATTCAAAAATACCTTTTTTTTAATGCTCATTGCCACTTTTTGAGACTGATAGATTGAATAAATAATTTAATCAAAAATGTCATTCCGATCGATGCAATACAGGATTTTGGAATATTAAGACATTATGGACGAATCCTACACTAATTTAAATTATTAAAGGTACTAGAGCCATATTTTCTGATATAAAAAGAATTAAAAAAAAATTTTACTTCAAAAACTAAAAATTTCAATATTAACATTTCATTTTCATACTTTTTTATTTACAAGATTCAAAGGGTTCTCAAATTTGTATGAATTATAGCGAGTTTTACGAATAAAAGAGTTTTTAATTAGAGCGGAGTGTTTGCCTATGTAAACAAGAAATGCTTAAATGTGTCTGTCTTCCACACGCAGGTACAGCATGTTCGACGCCCTGGACCTGGAGTACGCGCTGCTGCGCGCGGCCGCCCGCGGCTCCGTCGGGCCCTACTCGCTCTCGGAGTCGCTGCACAAGCTGACCTTCACCCAGAGCCTGGCGTTTCCCGCACTGGCGCGTGGCCTCGCCACCAAGCAGACCGTCGCCGCCAAGAACGCCAAGCGCTCGCTCCAGCAGCAGCACGGCGAGACGGGCATGAACGCCTTCGCCAAGGTCGTCACGGCCCTGGTCCTGGTGCTTGTGAGCGTGCTCGTTTTCGGCGTCGTCTACAAGTTCGTGAGGACGTGAGGCTGGCTGCTGGTCTCGCAACAGGCCGAGACCAGCAGCAGCAGCAGCAGCAGCTCCGCCTCGGCTCGGGTGCCACCGAGCCCCAGCGATTTTCAGCAGCAGAACAGTTATTACTCGTCCTTCGAGCAAGGACCAAGTTGAAAGAATATTGTGAGATTGCGATGTGAAATTTTTATTTCGAGCATCTTTTGAATTATTCCGGATTCAATTTCTTTCCTACGCACCCTGGTGTATTCGTTCCTGAATATCCTCACCCTATGCGATATTGTCTAACGCTTGAACAAATCGATTTTTAAATGCCCAATAAGACATTATTGTGCCTTTAAACTTTTATCAAAAAAAATATAAATACTTTATCCAAAAGCGCCTCCGAGAGCGAAGCTATGATAAATTTTTTCAAATGACTGAATTTACCCTGTTTATGCACTGCGAAATAAAAAGTTCAACGATCAATTTGCAATCGGGTTCTTTAAAAAAAAAGTGGCAATGTCAAAGAAATTCGGAACAAAGCATTATACGATGTGTATGTATGTATGTACATCGTCGATTTATTATCTTGCAATCTTATCAAATTAAAGAATCGTGTATATTCGTTCGATCAAAAACTCGTTGTATATATAATTAGTGTCAGTTGAGAAAACTAAAAATAAAGTAAAGATTGTGACAGAGCCGAGCGAAACCAAATAAAACTGAATATAATAATCGTTATGTATACCAATTGCGAGAACAAAATATTTTATAAAATTTGTATTTTCAGTCGTTCAAAAAAAAACTACTAGATTTTATAATTAACGCACCTACGTATGCATGTAGCGTTCAGCCGATAACAAAAGCGCATCGTTTTCTGAATTATATCTGTGCACTCAGCAAATGAAATTTAGCGAATTGAAACGTCAATCATATCTTCCTCGGTAAGATATTCTCTGTAATTATGATATAAACATTGAGCATCGTTCTATAGCCGTGTAACGTGTGTTCTGAGTGTCTCGTTTTGAACTTAAGTATTAAGAAGCTGTAATTATGTTGCTCGAGTATATGGTTTAATTGTTAGATGGAACTATGTGGATTCAAAAAATGTAAATAATCATATTTTTGGAGACTTCTCTTGCAAAAATCTGAAACTATATTATATTTTCCTAACTACTCGAAGATACCTACCGTAAACCTTTGTATTAATCGGTGCCAAATATTTTTTAAAAACTGAATAAGATTTTCATGAAATGCATTTAAAACGTTTGCATAGAGTATATTTTTGAAAAAGTGTTTTCCCTCGTGAATGTTCATGCAAGCTGGGCTGTCGAATGAATTGTTCCAGAATTATGTTTAGCCGATAAATTAAAAAATTTGTAAACTAGAAAAAATTAACTTATGATATTGTAATATGTAAAAAGTTTAAGAAAAAGCATTGTCATTGCGATAAACTGAGTAACTATTTAACAATTTTTTTTATTTATTGTATAACTTACAAATAGTTAAGAATAAAAAACTAACAATGATGTAAATTTAATATACTTGAAGAAAACTAACATATTTTGGCTTTTAAATGTAATTTTTTTGCATAAATGTGAAAAATAGTTATAAGTATGAAACGAAAAAAATAAAAGGTACAAATATACTCTGCAAGATTTATTTCTTATCCTGAAAAAATAAGGTATCAACAATGAGACAAAGATTCCGATTGAAAATTTATTTATTAATGATATAGTAAAATGAACAATCAATAAAAAATTATTTCGCACAATTCATAATTATACCGTTCGAATTTTGCCAGAAATCAGAAACTTCGAATTTCGGGTTAACACTCACTGTAATTTTTTCCAAAATTTTCAAACAAACTCAGTTGCACGGAATGATCCCCTTTCAAATTGAGTACTTATTTCCATAGTTTAAATTTGTATAGTATTATAGAGAAGTGCTAATTTATCTACAGTGACTTTTTAATACGTAGCCATGAATGAGTTTTTCCCTTCAATTTGGCGCGTCTTTTTATTTTTCAGTTTATTTTTAGACATTATTGTATCTATCGTACATACGTATACCAATATTTTCATAAGTACAATACGAACAATACGTTGTTTTTTTTTTGCTAATACGTGAAATATCTTGAATTTGAATTTTTACGAAGCTTAAGTTAGATGAAAAGTATGTTTGTCAGGACGAGGAATTCGATGAGCGAACAATATATTATAAGTTTCTTTTTTTTTAACTCTTATCTTTCCATTCGTCTATTTTCTTTTTTTTTAATAGTCGTTTATAGTTTATTTACACGTACGACGCCATTTTATTGCTAATTTAAATAAAAAAATCATTAATATCGTGACCAGCTTCATCGACCATAACACTTTTCAATCTTATTTAACATTAACTAATTCTTGTTTCGTCAACAAAAATAACAACAGTACATAATTTATGTGCATCGATGGAACATTTTACAAATAAAATTAATGAAACAACGTTTTTGAATCAATTGATCAATTGCAACGAGAAATATTTATTTTACATCGTGTATATAATTTTCTGTTGCGATAAGCTTTTCTTCGTATCAATAAACATTCAAAGAAATTAGACACTCATGCAGACAAATTCATCGTTTGTAGGTAATAAAAAACTATCACAGTTCATTTGTGCTTCATAAAAAACTGAAACCAACTCAATAAAATTAAATTATCAATGCATCAAAGTAATTGTAGAAAAAAAGTATAATAGCATCTTCATTTTGCCTGTAATTGATTGCGTTTAATAAAAACCAGTCGCAGTACAATAAAATACGCGAGATATGCTGAAAGTTCTATTTTCGATGAACAGTGTCTCAACTCATTCTCGAAGTTGCTTTAATTTCTAAAATTCGTTTCGCATTTTGATATTAGGCCGTACTTTTTCGATTTTTCATGCTACCTTTCGAACTTGGCTATTTACGGAACCTAAGCACATTATTAACGATCATGGAATGTTGAACTTTATTAATGTATAAAAAAATACGCGAAATAATTGCTTCCACATACTGCTTTCGATTAAATTTTTATACTTTCTTTGATTTCATCTATTTCGACGTCTATATTATTTAAGAGTTAGATCATTTTCCAGTAATATACGACGATCATGATAGAAACGCTTATACATTCTTAGCGCGTATCGGAGACGCGTTGAGCCGCTCGAAAATTAAATGATAATAATAATTTTAATCATCATTGCAGACCCTATCAGCGATGCCTTGTTAATACTACGATGTTGCGAGTTGGCTTTTTTTCTTTACGGTTACTACTAAATTACGTTTAAATGACATTTTTTTTACAAGTTTTGTACTATGACATCGCGCAGACCGTTTCCTCAATTTCGTAGTATTTTGTTCCCTATTATATCTTCCATCGATTTCAAATTTTTTTTTCTTCAAATTTTTTGTCTATATCTATTTGTTGTTGATGTTTCTATCTAAATCTTGGATGTAAAGTTTGTCTAGCCTAAATGTATTTTTAATCAGTTAAGGCTACAACATGTTTTAGTGACAATCTGCCTATACTGTATACCACTTTGGTCTCTTTTGTTCACATTAGTAGTCTTTATTTTCTTGTGTACTATAATTGTTTTCTTTCTTAATCATTTTAAATTAATCGAATCTGAGATATTTAAGAAGATGAATGGAAAATTAACATTATAGAACTTTTAACACGATTAATTAATAAAAAAAATTAATGAATGAAAAAATTATGCTAGACGGTAACAAAATCATTTCAGAATATTACGATTATTTAATAATAATGTAAAAACTAAGAGAGTAATAATATTCTTATTGAAAAATTACTTTTACATTGAGTAATCTATGAATCTAAAAAACTAAATTTACTTATTCATGATTATAAAAATATCGATCGACCCTACTTTTTCATAGAAAAATTGAGAGCTTCCGTTAAACACCGTTTACCATATTTTACTCGTTTCTAACATCGATTTAAAAATTGGAATGCAACTATTCAGTGTTTTTTTTTTTTTTTTTTTTTGACTAGAATTCAAATCAACAAAACCATAAAGCTCTTTTGATTGAATAGAAAAATATTCTCTATTATTTTTCATTACTATTAGATTGTCTTTTAGCGACACGTTTCTACAGTTATTTTATCATTTTTGAAGCTAGATATAAATGAACTCATATAATTTAATTTAACCCAAAATTTAAAAATAGTACCAAGTGGACCAATGTTAGGCCTCGATCAATTAAAGGAAAACGAGCATCATCAATTTCTTAGACTCTAATAGGAAAAATTGTCGAATTAGCGAATCTCAGTTTCTCGTCGAGAATCGTTATTAGCACAATCAGTAGCTTTATGATACACAACGGTTGGATTTCATGATTATTTTATAACGAATTTTCGTAGAATTAAACCTTAATTTACAATTTGATGTTGATCCTGCAAGGAATCCTTCAATTCAACTAACGCAACTTGTCGCACAAAATAATAGTGCTTCAATAACTTACGTATTACTTTTCAATCGCCTGATTTCATGACAATTTGAACCTCCATATCAATAACAATCGATAAATTTTCATAGAAATGAAATTTCTTTAACATTGTAAAGCAATTTAGCTACAAAAACAACTGATTTTTTTTCTCTATTCACATGGATTCAAGTTGCCATTCACACACGCGTGCGTCTGCCGCAAGAAATAACGCTTACAATGAAGTTATAACACGAGATGTTCAAACATGATCATGCGTTATGCATTTATACATTATAATTAATTTTTTGGTTTTACGTAACGGTTCCCTGGACGGAGGAGAAATCATATATATTGTTACGATGAATGACAAAATTCCGGCATCGATCATGGAAATTCTTTCGAGTTTAATTATTATTATTTATGCAGTAAAACAGCACAGGCCTATAATATTGTATTTGCGCATGACGACATCATTATTTTTTTTTGTTTAATCCATAATATTTATAATATTGTCATATGCGCGCTCTTAGTAGTTCAACACACTCAATCTAAATGAATAACAATCAAGTGGTAAATTTTTGTTTTTTCATGCTTGTAGCTATTACACGTGTACGTACATTGAAAAAATTGCTCCTATAACCCTATATTTGAACCATTCAACTCTTTACACGTTATGCAATTATGCTATACTTATTACAGAAGTTTCACACTCAAAAAGGACAACAAAACAAAGGTAAAGAAAGAGAAAAAACATTAATACCTGACTCACGATCTCTCTCTCTCTTTTTTCTTTTTTTTTTTAAATAAGCTCATTCACCCTCTACACCGGGATTAAACTATCCAGTCTGGAGGAAAATTGATTAAACCCTCGTTTTTCCATCGTGGCTCGCGCGTATACATAGACGCTTTTTATTTTTAGCTCGCGATCGAAGCTCTTAATTTATATCCTTTTTAACACCTCCCCGTTTACACTTTGTGCGCACTGTGTGCGTGCGAAAACGTCGATCTCTCGATGTCGTTCGTTTATTCTTTTTTATTCTTGTTTTTTTTTTTTTTGTTCGTTTTTACTGATAGATGATTGGGTGCGTCGGTATGATCGGCAGATCGCTGTCGAGCTTGAGCTGCACGCCGTCTTTGGTCATGAGGTAGTGGGTGAGCAGCTGACCCTTGCCCTTGACGAAGACCATGCCGCGCTGCTCGAAGCCAAAGCCGAAGTTCTCGAGGATCATGCGCGTTTCGTCCGTCACCTGTGTTCGGTTGAAGCAAAAATTTTTTGGTTCTAGAGCAAAAAAAAAAAAAGAAAAAAATATCTCGTCCACCCCCACTCACCTGGAGAAAGCCGACCTTGCCCGTGCTCTCCATCCTCGAGGCGACGTTGACGGTGTTGCCCCAGATGTCGTAGTGGGGCTTGCGCGCCCCGATCACCCCGGCCGTGACGGGCCCGTGATTGATGCCCATCTTGAGGACGAAGTGATTGAAGCTCTGCTCGTTGATGTGCGACAGGACGTTCTTCATCTCGACGGCGAAGTCGACGAGGGTGGCCAGGTGCTGCCACTGGGGCTCCTTGCTGCTGCTCGCCGACTCGGTGATGCCCGAGGCAGCCATGTACGTCGAGCCGATCGTCTTGATCTTGATGATGTCCTTGTACTTGTCCTGGTCGAGTATCTGCGTACGTAAATCGGATTCGCGTAATGTAATGTGTGAGCCAAACCTCGTCAATATTACCGCGTGAAAAAATGTGGCAAAAGTTTGGCTTATGAGCTTGAGCGAGATTTTTTTTTATTTTTTTTTAATTTTATATTTTTTACATTCGAGTATAATAGAAAGTGCACCAGGTCAAAAACTAAGGCAATCCGACCGACTTATTAAGATCATTTGAGGTTTTAAGGTAATTTAAAAATAGTTGGGAAAAATCTCGCTCAGGCTGACTTTACTTTTGGCACATTCTTTTTTTACGCGGGTTGGTATGTACGAAAAATTAAATTGCAAACTTTATAAGTACTCGTCAAAAGATAAAAATTTTGCCAATTTCTACAGATGCTACAGAAGCTCAAAGTTGAATTATCATCTTGTAAATGTTACTTTTCTTTTGGGGGTCTAGATTCACTTGAATAATGCGTACAAATTTTCGTAGAATTTTTGGAAAACTTTTTTTAATTATAAAAGAACTACTTTTAGCTTTCTAGTTTCTTCTTCTATATAGTTTTTCAGTTATTTTTTGAGGGATCGGAGCGAGGATCCAAGGCAGTTTAGTAATATGGGTAGATTTGAAAATTCACCTACAGATGTCGCATTCAAAACTCGTAGTAAAAATAGCAAACCAATAGTAACATCTATGACAAACTTTGACATTTTTATAAGTAACAATTTTTCGCTGATTTCATTGCTTTTGGTAATATGAATCATTCTTAAAATAGGCCCTTTGGTTCGAAGTATTTTTGCGAGTAACACCCGTGACTAACAAATGAATTTCGCCACTCTAAAACATGTATATCATACGAAAACTCACCGCGTCGAAGTCCGATATGACCTCGTTGAGAAACCTGAGACACTCCAGGCCCTGATTGTTGATGCTCTCCTCGCTGTAGAAGTCGGCGAAGTTGGGCATACTGGCGAAGAGCACGCCGACCTCGGCGTAGCTCTGGCTGTACAGGTCGTCGTGGTGGCGCGACGTCGTCAGGAAGTACGAGGCCACGTGGGGCGGCAGGATGTTGTAGATGAGGGCGCCGTTGCGCCTCTTCATGTCGGCCGCGCGCTCGCGCTGCGCCTCGACCTCGCGCGCACGCAGAAACAGCACTCGCCGCGACTTTTCCGCCTGAGAGAGAGAGAAGAAAAAATGTCATTAGGCGAGGTACGCGCGTTCGAACGTATAATAAATCGGGTCGATATTGGTTAGTCGTGTTGACCTGCATTCGCGTATACGACCGGATGCACTTTTTTCTTCTTCTTTCTTTCTCCTCGGCACACAATGAAACGTGGCTCTATATGTGCTCTTTGGGGAGGGAAATATTTTACTGTAACTATCGGTACTTAAGCGCCGAGTTCGGAGTGTGCATTATCTCAGCGAGGAAACTTTTTCATCCGCGCATTGTGTGTAACTGTTTTATCCCAGAAACTCTACATCTCTCTCGGTAATCGGCGTCGCACATCTTTCGAGGAAGTTTTCGTCCGTTTTTAACCATTCATCCAGCATTTTAATGTAAATATGTGTATGCAACGGAAGAAGGATATTCGGGCTCGAGAAGCTTTTAAAGACCGAAAGCTCGCGGTAAATAGGAAAATCTTGCCCCCTTGGAAACTGGCCCCCCTTCCGCCTTTTATCCGGTTTAAATTAAAATCTCTATATCTACCCTCCATCCCTCGAGCCGCGCCGAGCGACGTCGCGCCTCTCTCACGCCCGGAGATGCAAACTTGATGAGTTCGGAGAAGCTATATAGGCTTTATAGCCCGAGCGGGCGCGAAATTAGGTCGTGTGCGATGCGAGAGCAGCGACGGTAGTGGCGACGGCGCGGCGCATCTTGAAAATTTTCGCGATTTGATAACGAGAACCAATTAGCTTTATCTTTCGCGAATAAAGTTTGAAATTATTAAGAGGCAGGAAAGAAAAATATAAATACGAGATAGCGTTGAAATTGAAAACGTTTGATATCGAATTTTCTCTCTGCGATTGCCGAGGAGTTTATGTGACAGCTGTCGAAGAAAAATCTTTGGGCTCTCGGTTTGGACGACTTAACGATTTCTCGAAAATTAAATTAAAATAATAGGGGGAAACGCTCATAATTTTACGATAAGGACAGTGAAAAAGTTTCTTAGATATTAAAGAGCTATTGAAACTTGTCATATATACTTTCAAAAATGAAACATTTGATCATGCTCGTATATAATTATGCCTGACTTATATAATTATTTACATTTTTTACCACTTGCAGATTTACAAATACAGATACTCGCCATCTAGAGGCGAATGATTAAAGTAGTTTTAAACAGGTTTACAGTTTATGCAACAATTAAATTAAAATTTTTGGGACATTTAAAATGCTCGTCAAATTTTTATTCTTACCACACACGTTTTTTTATTTTAATTTTGAATTTCTTTTTACATAAACCGCATCTTTTTTAAAGCTTCCTACGATGGCAAAATACTTGTGACTATAATTCATTTGATGATTCATTTTAAGTTAACGCCCAAGTCGCGACTAATCAACATTTATGATTCATTCTTGCAATTAAATCTATTGATAAGGAGGAGAAAATTTTTAATTAAAAATCGAACACAACCGTATAATGGCGAAACATGTACAACTGAAACAGATCGATTCTAAACGCAAAAAAGTTCAAAGTAATCGAAGATGAAGTTCTTACTTTTAATTTTTGTCGCTTTGATTTTCGTCGCTAAAACCTGTGCACAATACGGAACATATTTTAAAGATAAACCAAGCTATAAAAAATGTGTCCGCGGTTCTTGTTAAATCGAAAAATTTGTTACAAGTAAATAGACAAATTATAGGCTTTTTATGTTGAGAAAAAGTTCGACGAAAAAAATTTCAACGAGGTACGTATGTGGACGTCGCTATAAATAAAACTTTTTGCGGTAATCCTGTTAAATATAATAATTTTATAGGAAACTGCCTGATGACTAGAAAGAGGGCAAATACATGATACTTTTTTCCAGGTAATCATAAATTGTAACTGATGTTGATAAAATTAGAAAGTGAGTAAGAAAATACGTTAAGCGTTACTTTAGAATACTTGCTTTAACTTATACTTGCTTTAAAACTTGCTTTAACTTGCTTTAACTTATTTATGTTTACTTTGCCACTTGCGGATTTACAGATATAGGTACTGGCCATCTAGTGTTGAAGTCCAAAAGCATATTATCATATTCAAAGTGCGAGTATTCACTCGTCTGAATATTTTTTGAAACAGCTGTTAGATTGTCATTTTCGGATAATTGCATTCAAATAGAGAAATATAAATCATGCTCACAATAAGTTAAATCGCAATGTTTTGTTCTAATATTTTTAGAAATATATACATCAATACTGTACCACGATTATTATGCGAAAAAATTTCCGAAGAAGATTCCATTGGTTCGAATATAAAAACGATCGTCAATTATAACTAATTTATTGTTAAACATAACTTATACCGGATTATCTCAATTTTTGATACGAAAATAAAAAAAACCGTGTCTACCAATTACATTGTTTTTACCGGCGACCGTAAGGTTTGTATGCGGGCGTAATGTATCGCACGAAGCAACAGTATTATGGATAATAGAAGCACCGGGTAAACGTCCTACATTGTGGGGAGGGGTCAGCACTTGACGTCAGTCTTGCACGTCTACATAATACGAAGCGTCGTTCTGTGTAAAAGTACTTATAAATAACCGGTCTTTATTTATATAAAACATCATATCGCGGCTTCGACATCGAGTCCATTATTATCTATCGGTTATCCGTAAAACATACTTGATTATCTTTTTTTATAACACACATCGCACCACGAGCTTCATTCAAAGTGTCGTTGGTCTTTGAAAAAAAAAAAAAAATACATAAATGAATAAAGTGTACGTATAACTCACGTATCGAGCCACCATGACTAGGGCCAGGGCGATCAGCAGCAGCATCAGCGACAGCGAGTACTTGAGCTGGAAGTAATCGTGGCCGGACTGCACGACGGCGAGACCCTCGCGATCGAGACTCGGCGCGAGCCACAGTACGTTGACGGCGCACTGGGCCCCAGCCAGGCAGAACATGAGGAAGGCCTTGCCCAGATAGCCGACGTAGGTCGGCATCGACATCACTATGAGGGCCAGCACGCCGATGTACGAGTAGTAGGACGAGTAGGGGCAGCGCGGCTGCCAGCCGGCCGCGGCGCCGGTGTTGTTCGCGGGCCTCGGCAGCTCCGCCGAGTGCAGCGAGCAATTGGCCATGTCGAGCAGCAGAAAGATGCTCATGGAGAAGATCATGAGGAGGGCGAGGACGCGACGCAGCCAGCGCGCGCGCACCGAGCCACCGAGACAGGTGGCCACGGCGAGCACGAGACTGAAGAGCACGACGACGCCGATGCCGCCCCAGGTGAACGGGCCCCAGGGCTGGAGACGCCAGAGCGGCGCCGCCGTGGCCATGACGAGGGGGCCACCGATCAGGGAGAGCGGCGAGAAGGCCTCCTCCGAGGTGTTGAAGCCGCGCTCCTGGTCCGGGTCCTGGAAGGCCAGAGTGAGCCAGGACGCGTGGCCCTTGAGCTCGGCTCCACCGCCCACTGAAACGAGAGGAAGCAGAGGGAAAAAAAGAGATTTTAAGGATACGAGCTTGAAAAATAATAAGTCGGGAGGTATATTTCATTGCATCCCTCGTGGTTGAAAAAACGCAATTGTTGAGGACATCCTTGGAATTATCCAGTAAATTTATCAAGGTGTAACACCACTCAAGGATTTTCTAGATTAGAATAATTTTCAGATATTTTATTTTTGATATTTATAGGCAAGAAAAACTTTAAGCTTTTTTGACAAAAATCGAATTTTTTGTTGGAAAGATGCCATTACCACAATATTCACTTTTGCGCTAAAATTCTACTTGGCTCAATAGAGGAAGTCTTTAACTTTAGAAGGATATTCAGTTTTTTGTTCTAAGTACCATGGGAATTGAGGAACGGTAGTACAAAAACAGTATTTTTGTACGATATCTCTGCCACTTTATGAAGAAAATCAATAAAAAAAATTTTTGTTATTTTAAATAAAACATGTATTATTTTTCCTCAAAGTCCCAAGCTGAATGGCCTCCGCCAAAAATTCCTGAATTTAGACATTTTTACAAAATCCTAGAGTGGTGTTACACCTTAAAAAATAATGAATTTGTTGCAGTAAAATAGAAAGAATCACTTAAGAGTCATTATTTGTTTTTGAGAGGGTAGAAATGTATCTGCACTGTTTTTCATTTCACGAATGAATTGATTATTGTTTTAAATAAATAGACTGGATAAATTTAACGATTGTATTCAATTGTTGTATATTTATTAATTTAAAAATAAAAAATTTTGAAATACTTGGAAAAAGCTATCTAAATAACTGCAAATTTGAAAAATCAATGTAAGATATCAATATCATTGAAAAACAAGCATTCAAATCAGAGAGAAGTTGAAGATGATTTCACAAAAGAAATTTCAACCAGAGAAAAGTTTCCCTCATAGTGTGTTAGATTATATAAAATTCTCTGTACATAAAATCACCAGAAGTTTTCTTTTTTGGAAATCATCTTCAACTTATTTCGATCACAAATTTTTGTATTTCTATCTTATCGATAATTTGCTCAGACTTTGATGTATCGAGTAAATTAAATTTAAAGATGTTTCGCATCCGATGGCCATCCATAGACGGCTATATAATTTTTTGCTGTCTGACTGTCTGGCACAAAGCGAGTAGCCACTCGTAGTTATTAGGATGCAGCTGTGTAGTGCACAAAGAGAGAGGTCAAAGTGTGCCTCTCGACTCAGTGCACTAAGAGGCTCGTAAATGAGTGTGTAGTATACGTATATGACTCGAGGGGGCTAAACACAAGTAGTGCGTGTACAGTACAACAATGCGTACAACTCAATTTATAACGGATATAATATATACTCGACCTACTACTACTACGTTACTCGAGATTTTATTCAATTATTACCTCTGCTGTCGAGCTCCTTCTTCAGCCGCTGCCTGAAGTCCTCCGAGTCGTCCAGAGTCGCGCCGTCCGAGCTGCTGATGCCCCGCTGCTGCGAGTAGCTCGCCTGCTCCCTGCGCACGGCGTCGTCCAGCGACGCCAGACTGCCCAGGGACTTGCGCTGGCCCGTCGACGTGGCGATCTCCACCAGTGGCTTGAGCGCCTTGACGATGAAGTACGTCGTGATGCCGGCCTTCTGCAGTATCTCCTCGCGGGTCTCGCCGTAGGCCGGCTCGACCTCGAACTCGCCTTTCAGGAAGCCCAGAGTGACGTTCGAGATGTGCACTCGTCTGCAATGTGCACAGATAATAATATAAGCACGTATAAGTAGGCGAGCGTGGCGATGATGATATTATGCGCGCGAGTCTCTTGGTACATTGTCGAGTGTATTCGATTGCTTCGTCGAGCGGTACGTAGCGAGAGATAGAAAAAAATCGTTTATACTTTTCGTTGGACTCGTGTGAAACTTGTATGGCAGAAATTGAAAAAAATTGTTGTGTCTGTCAACATTATGTTAAAAATTTTACACTTTTTAAATTACATCAGTTTTCAACCGCTTTCATTACGATAATATCAATTAAAGTCTTCGCCGCTAGAGGGCGAGTCTACTTCATCTGTAAATCTACAAGTGACAAAGTTAATATAAATGTACATAAGATAGTCAATTAGTATTTAAGTTGAGCAACAATATGCATCCATTTGATTGTTGAAAAAATTAACCATTCAATTATTAGTTATCAACTAGTAATTAATAAACAATATAATATTGATAAAGTACATTAAATTAATTGTTAATAAAAGTAATAAATTAAATCGGAACAAGCTTTGAAAATATGAAGATAAATTGAATTCTAGAACCAGAAGTTAAATTCGAAAAAACACTTGCGCAGTCTGAATGTCGCTCAACTCAAATACAATTAGAAAGTCCAGAGCTCACAGCGAAAAAGGGGCGTTGCCTGTGCCTAGCTGTGTACTATTGTCGGTATCACTGCGCGTGCAACATACGCGAGTGGCCTGTTCTAAGCTGTACTTTCACCGCGTCTCATCGTCACGGCGCATATGGCACACGCATACTTGTATGTCTCTCACCTATACAACCTCGTGTTTTTTTTTTCTAAATTGTCGTGAGTTCACGTCACAACGCAGCAGCGTGCATATGTACGAATATCAAATCTCATCAGGTTACATTTCGGAAAAAAGAGAAAGTTTAGTTACCACCATGTGCTCTTTACAGCATCTATATAGATTTTAGTGCATTTTGAGTCAGTATTACTTACGACGCCACACGTTGAACGCCTACACGAGTTGATCGCGTTGATCTCATCGAGTGGTTTTTAGTGAAGAAGAACAAATCTTTAAAATTATAAACTATTGTGCTTTTGTGTGTAAGTGTTACGAAAAATGGCCGTAGACAACCACAACTGTTTCAAACAATTAAAGAGCTTACGAGACAAAGTTAACTGGAAGGTCGAAGAAGAGAGACATTATTTTTTCAACCAAATCGAGCCTCTCTTCAACGATTGGATAGGCCAACTTCCAATTCTCAAGAACATCGTCGGAGCCGAAGAAATGAACTGGCTTCTGACGAACTATTATCAAAAAGCAAAGTTCGTTGAGTTCGTCGCTCGCAGTGGCTACAAGGACGAGTCGAAACTCGACGAAAACAGCGACAAACCATCGTCTCGTCGTACCACGTGGGTGCATCGAGCGGCTCGGATAAGATACTATGGTCCCCTCGCCATGAATAGTCTGTTCGAGATTATCGACAGATTCGACGTGAACTACGTCGACGACTCGGGCCGTACCCACTTCCACTTGGCCTGCGAGATGGGCCTGTTCGACGTCTGCCAGAAATTCATCGATCACGGCTTGGACGTCGACTGCATCGAGCCAAAAACGGGTAACACCGGGTTACACTTGGCTTTGACCTACGATCGCAACCTGGTAGCCGAGCTACTGCTGAGGGTGGGCAAGGCAGATCCGAACTCGGTCAATAAGCACGGGCAGACGCCTCTGCACGTCATCTGCGCGAAAGAAGGCAAGAACTATCACGTGTTGGCCAAGTTATTCTTCAAGATCGTCGAGCACATGGAGAAGAAGGTGGAGGTGGACGCCCGAGACAATTTTGGCAGGACAGCTTTGGAATACATTCTGCCGACCGACGTCTGTAACAGAGAGCTCGTGCGAGTACTGCTGAGCAACGGCGCCGATCCGAACTCGGCCAACCAGCATGGACAGACGCCTCTACACTTGATCTGCACGAGAGACAGCGACGATGACTTGGCGGGAGTGTTTCTAAAGGTCACCGATGAAATGGAGCAAAAGGTGGAGATCGACGCGAAAGACGAGAAGGGCCGGACACCGCTTCAATATGCCGTGGCGAATCTCTTGCCAAATGCAGTCTGTCTTCTCTTGAAGCGCCAGGCCGACGTCGCGAGCTTCGTTTTTCCTACCGAGGACTATTTCGCCGCAACTTTAAACTGGCGTGAGCCTTATATCTGGGGTCTCATCAAGCTGAGACTGGCCGCTGGAGCTCTGGCCTGTATCGAGCATCTCGAGAAGGCAGGATACCAGCCGAGCAAGAGTGACGTCCTGCAAATCGTCAAACTGTTCTCCACCCACGAATTATACGAGATGGAGAAAGACGAAAGTAAAAATCGTCTGCTCAGCACAGACGGGTTCGTCTTGACCATGGCGAAACAGGAGATGTTGACCAAGAATCTGTCGCTGTACGATCTGGTGCAGTGCCCAGTCGAGGATGCCGCGGAACTGCTCGAGTACGCGGACTACTTAAGGTACGCGAGCCAAGGCACGCTGGTTTGGAGCGACATCTGTGCCCAGCGTCTGTGCGAGACGGCGGCGAGAGGATTTTTCCGGCGATGGATCGGGAGGCTGGGCCTCCAAGAAGTCTCCGCGGAGTGCCCGGGAGGGATCGTCGATGGACTGTCGAACAGGGAGCTGTGTGACATTTTCTTGAGGGCCGAGGAGAAAAGTTCTCAATTGGTTTGTTCATCTTCGTAGAGTCTCGAAAAAAAAATACATGGATACACGCTTTGGGTTAAAAATTTGTTTGTTTAACAATAAATGTTACATTTGAAATAAATAAAAAAAATTTTCATTAATTTGCTTGCATTTTATTTTGGTATTTTTTTCAGTATCCTTTACAACTAACGCTGAATATAACAGCTAAAATATTATCAGTGTAAATTGGAAAATTCAATTGAAAAATCATCATGCCTTCATGTGCAATCGATATATAATAGATAATTAATCGCTCTTTTATATTGAAATTTTTTTTTTTGGACTTTCATTTAATTTTCATAGATTTTTAGTATTTTGATTTCAATAGAATTCTTAAGGTGGCTAGTCAGTAAAATGGGTCGACAACAGATGTTTATGAAACTTTGCAGAAATGTCATTCAAAGTGCCCTTGATATGCTGTAGAAATTTCAGCATGGGTTAACGAATTAATTTTTGAGAACGACGGGGTTGAAAATAGCAATTTTAACATGGGCTGTTATGGGAGGCCACCATGATTTCATACATTTTACGCCATAACTTTTTTATTAAACAACAGTCACTACCTTTCGATTGGAATGTTAAACCCCTTGTACCCCTTATCGAACTAACTAATTAGTAATAGAACAAAATGTGCGAAGATTATCGGTCGTTAATTTTCAAGCAGTTGGCAACTCTATAATCGCCGCTTGGCGTCCCTCACGCGGGTATTCAAAAGTAACTGTATATGTTTATAAAAACTTGTCAAAATGTCAAATTGTAAAATTCAAAATGTAAACTTGTCAAAGTCTAAAATTATAATAGCGCGAGTTGATTTGAAGATTATCGATCACGTTTTAAATGATTTAAAAATAACCATTGTCTCAACCACTTTAAATACGATAACATTACTTACACTCTTCGCCATTAGATGGCGAGTACCGTCATCTGTAAATTCGCAAGTGGCAAAAAAAATAATTATTATATAAGACAAACCCAGTTTTGAGAAAATAAACTCAATGTACGTAGGCCAGTCAATTTAGTTTTTTTGATGACATGAAAAATAACAGCAAACGGGTTGTGCCATTCGTTTCTAGGGTTAATAAGGATGAAAAAAAACAAAAATGCCCCCTCGAGAAATTGTCCCATTTTGTTTAAACAATGATTATATGCAACAATTTAGCGCATGTTTTCGTTTTTCATAAATAACTTTGAAACGAAGACAGCTACAGACATGCCCCGGGAGATAAAATGTAGAGAATTTAATTACCTTTAATTTGAATTTTTATACGACCCGATCGGATAAATATTTTCCGAGAAAAATGCGAAAAACCCATGAAAAACGTGGTTTTTGCCTCAAACTTCAAAAATTCATAACTCCCTTAGTTTTAACATTTAAGAGCTGAAATTTTGCAAGAATGTAGTGTTTATTATATACAATAACTGTGCATAGTAAATTTATCGTAATCAAAGAAATGAGATATACGTTTTGAAGATAATTATTTAAACTTTCTAAATCCGTTGAAAACGAGTCGATAACTTCATCGGTTCGTCTTCTATACTCGATACACTAAAATTCGCAAAATCGCTTGTGAAAATGTTAATTGCCATAATTGGTAAAGTATAAGTCACACAGAATCCGGGTTTCGCACAGTTATTGTATATAATAAACACTACATTCTTGCAAAATTTCAGCTCTTAAATGTTAAAACTAAGGGAGTTATAAATTTTTGAAGTTTGAGGCAAAAACCACGTTTTTCATGGGTTTTCCGCATTTTTCTCGGAAAATATTTATCCGCTCGGGTCGTATAAAAATTCAAATGAAAGGTAATTAAATTCTCTACATTTTATCTCCCGGGGGCATGTCTGTACCTGTCTTCGTTTCAAAGTTATTCATGAAAAACGAAAACATGCGCTAATTTTTTGCATATAATCATTGTTTAAACAAAATGGGACAATTTCTCGAGGGGGCATTTTTGTTTTTTTTCATCCTGATTAACCCTAGAAACGAATGGCACAACCCGTTTGCTGTTATTTTTCGTGACAAAAATCACCTATTTTTTCGCTAATTTGACTGGCCTAACGCCTTTGTTTCGATTGGCGATATTTAACAATAAACTTACAAATTCAATTCATTTTATGTTTTCATATGCGTATATTATTAAAAATAAGGTGTTGCATCATATGGCTGTAAAACATTGAACATTTCTACCAGGAGCTTGAACATAAAATTTTTAATTGGAATATTCATTTGTTTGAATCTAAATTTTTTGGTGGGATTTTGATGAAATTTTATTTTATTAGTCAGCTATCACGATGTTTTAGTAATGAGGAGCCAATGAGTATCGAAAAAGTCTAGACGTACTAATGTTCTCCAATTCGTGACAACATGTGAAAGAAAATTCGCTTCAATGTACGTTTACACATATATTTCCAGACTGTATATCATTTGAAAATGCCACACGCAGCTGCATCGAGAGAATCGCGAAACGTAATCGTTCACGTAGCTTTTGTAAAAAATTAATGTGACGCACGATAAAAAAAGAAACTCGTGCACACACGGCAAGGACATTTTTTTAATGGCACGAATTTATTTTTCCCAGCCTCTGTATACGCTCGTAACTTTTAATCCCCCGGCAAAGCTCTCTCAAAGTCAATCTCGTTTCTATTATTTCTATCGAATCACGCGGCCGTTTGCAGAATATAAACGCCTAGATATATACATACATTCGAACGCGATAAAACGACAATCGGTATTATACGGGGAACGAAATAGCTCGATACGAACGCGCACACATACGTCAAACTAGTTGCTTCCGCGTTCGAGCGGAAAGTAAATCAAGACAGCTTGTGTGTGTGTTTGTGTGTGTGCCATATCCGCATGCAATACACAACCAACCTGGCAAACCCTATAAGGACGTCGTCGAGCTCGACTGTATCAAACGAGAGAGCTATGTAGTTCGTAGCCTGTTAAGATGTGTTTTGGCAAACGTTTGCGGCTTTTATTTACGCTGTGTGTCGTGGGTGTGTTTATTTGCATGTGGCAGTCTTCCGGCGTCGCTATATATTGCGGTTTATATTATGCATGTACGCAGGAATTACTGCGTGTGCGAATATTTTTTTCAGTTACTTTAATGTTGAATTAAAATTTGCCCACTCTAACACCACTCGAATTGTCATTAAGGATATAGTCAATCTTCGCTCAGCCGAGAGTGACAATTTCGTTCGACCGGACTTGACTACTGCCCGTTTTAGCATCGAACAATCGTTAATTTCCATTGGGTCGAAAATGTTAATTTCGCTCCGTGGCAATCGACCAAAATTACGAAAAAAAAGTCCAATCGTAAAAAAAGCGTCTTCTGCATTCCTTTGATTTTAATTTTCGCGCTTTGGTGCGCACTTATATATAGGTATGTAGCTTACGAACGAAACTGTAATTAAAGTAGTTCTGGTTTTCAATTTACTGCGTTTTAATTGCTTTGGAAATTTGCTTACATCTTTGAGCTTTCAGAGCTTGGACGTAAATTATTATAGAGTCGAGTTGAGCGAAAAGTAATATGGGTGAAAATATTTTCGAAATTTGGTCAGCCGTCATCGTCGATGATTCGAAGGATGAAACTTTACTCTTTCATCGATAGTTTTTGTTTCACTCGTCTCAGTTATAATAGACGTACGGTCCATTAGAGGACGGGTGCGATAAAATCGCCATTAGGGTAAAAGCAAAGTATAACCAAGTGTTGTTTTTCTCAAACTCGAGTACATTACATCAATTAAGGATGTGTACCCGCACAATTATTATCTCCACGAAATATTTTCCTAAAATGCTACACTGAAACATATCCGTAAAGTTATTTACAAGTTTTTATACGAAGAAAATGAGCAATTTGAAAGATTACACACGGCTACATACAATTTTCTCTCGATTCTATTGCGAGTACTTGTTGTATGCTTCCTGACCCGGAAATAGCTGTATACACAGTAGCTGCACGGAGTGCCCTAAACTACATCCTACTTTGAAGAATCGTTTGTTAGACCGATGCACTATAAAATACAATCATAAATTTCGGAGCAACTGTTGCGTGAAAAAGGGGGACGAGTTCTTATTTTTACCTGCAAATTGAAGGTAAAGCTGTGCCGCCAACGAGTCTCTTTGTCGAAATTCGAATTAAGGAATGAACTTAAGAGCAGTAATGAATTACGATGCGAATTTGATAAGTGAAATTTCGCGACATGGTGAATATTATAACCTTGGCACAAATGATCAATATTCTAAGGCTAGTTATAAAACCTTTTAAGTTCAATGATGGTAAAGAGCCATTGAAATTAAGCTCTAACTTATACAAGCATTTTCACACTGTCAGTTGCAGATTTACAAATAATGATGCTCGCCATCTAGCGGTGAATGTTTAAATTGTTCATCGAACTCAGTTTCACTTTTGTTAAAAGCGTAAAATGTGTTATACACACATCTTCGCTTTGTCGCTTGCAGATTTACAGATAAAATGACACTCGCCATCTAGTGTCGGAGACTTGAAGTACTATAATCTTATTCGTAGCGCAAAGTGATCAAGTGATTTAAAACACTTATATTATCATTTTTGGGTCACTAAAATTCGCTTAATGTTTGCAACATATTCATGTAAGAATAATCACAAAAACAAGTCAATTAACTGTCGCGTATTTGAAAAAATTTGAAATTATACTTTTTTTGACATTAGACTGTAACGTTGAGAATTTCTACCAGGGTATCTCCCACTCAAGTTGCACGACGCACTTTTAACACAATAACACAGCTTTCTTTTTAATCGAACAATTTTTAACGTATCTCGATTGTAAATCATAAAAATTTTCAATTACAATTTAACCTTTATATAGAGTATATAAAAAGAACGAGAAGCGAGAAATAAAATGAAAAAGGTGCGAGCTTTCGCCCCGAATCCCGAGGCAATTTGGTCGCTCGCCACCCTTACTTTGTATACATATATCTACTACTCTCCCAAGTGTCTTTGATCTACATTGTGTTCATGTGTGTGTGTGTTTGTGGTCGAGACTCGAGCTTTCTCTCTCTCTCGAGGCCTTCATTATTACCCAACACTTCGGAGAGCGTCACGTTTTTCTTAGCTAAGCATTTTATTCTTCGCCACCGTGCATCACCACCACCTCGAAAAAAGTCATCGGCGGACTCGAACTCGATTTTTCTCGCGCGAGCGATTCACAGTCATCGCACACTCACCCGGCTCTGCCGCTGCTCTCCATCTTGTTGGCCAGCTCCACGTCCTTGCTGTAGACGTCGAACTGCCACTGGCGCTGGCCCAGCACCCCGGCCAGCACAGCCCCCGTGTGTATGCCCACGCGCATGTCCACCGGGCTCTTGGTCGTCTGCTGCACGTACTTGATGGCCTCGACCATCGACAGACCCATGTGGATGCACAGTACCGCGTGATCGGCCCTCTCCTTGGGCGCGCCGCTGATGCAGTAGTAGCAGTCGCCCAGGATCTTGATGCGCAGCTGCTCGTATCTGCGGGCGCAAAAAAAAAAAAAAAAATTGATAAATACAATTACGCGCGAGGTATATAATCACCTCGTGAATTCTTAAAATATCACGTGCCTAGTTATATATATGTGGGGGGAAAAAAAATTTCATAAGCCTATGAGCTCGAGCTCGCGAGAAAGGGATCGATATCTATAAATTGCCACCCCGTATATATAAACGACTATCGACGCGATCGGATCGTGTGCGCGGCGGACGCGCTCGCCAGGGGGAACACACTTTAAACGCCGCATAATTTCACCCCCGTCGTCGTCGTAGTCGTCGTGAAGTCGTTTCATGCTATATACGTATTATAATGTGCTTTTTTTCACTCGAGAGTTCGCGAAGAGATCCATTTGCAGCGCGAGAAAGAGAGGAAATTCGCGTTATAGTCGCGGCCGATGATGAACGACCCTATTTTTTTTTGTTTTTTGGTCATCCTCGAGAAACGAGTAGTAATCTTCTTAATGAAAAAAAGCTCGCTCGCAAAAAAAGCTCACACGTAATTTTGATCAACGAGCTGGGAACCTAGCACAGCACCTGCTTACGCACGCATCTCGTTTAAAGAAAGAAGAAAAAAAAACAACAACGACTCGCGCGTAATCCCTCGTGTTCTCTTTGCTGCTCCATCACGATAATAACGAGCGACACAATGGGGATCGAGAGTAAGTGGGATACAACTCGCTCGCTCGCGCGCGAGCCCATATCGTTCAACGTCTTATCTCTCTCTCTCTCTCTCTCTCTCTCTCTCTCTCTCTCTCTCTCTCTTTCTCTCTATTGAGAGAGAAATAAGAAAAAAAACGAGGGTGAGAAGAAAAATACGGAGAAGAGTGTCAAGATCTATTTTTGTCTGCCTCTCGCGCCTCTGCTGCTGCTGCTGCTGCTGGATCGATCCGTTTGTGTTAGATATACAATACGTTACACAAGCTCGTATTATTATACGTACCGAAGCAGCAGCAGCAGCAGCAGCAGCTATTATAATGTACAAAGCTCCGTTTCACGCGTCGTGTATAATGGATTCGATTAAGGAGCTCTATTTTTCTTTTCGTATCCCCCACCCTTACTACGCGAGACGATAATTCGTTCGAATGCGTGAAAATCTCTCGGCATATTGTGTATACGATACTTTTGATCGAGCTTGCGCGCGAAACGAGCTTCGCGTCAGGAATTTCTCATCCTAAACTTTTCCCCATGCGCGCGTAAATATTACAAGCCTTGTTACACTAGTGGCAACATTTGTTGCTAAAGCTGAGCGAAATATGGTTATATGTTTATTTATTCATAGATTTCGTACTATAAAATCAGAAAGATTTAAATGCGATTCTGAAGACTTAGGAATAAAGAAGAACCGCAATATTAATCAATGACATATCAAATTGTCTAATTTATAACAGTTTGAAATACTTTATTTAACAAAAATTTAATAATATTTTCGAATTATCCAAATACATATGGGTAAGGCTCAGAATTTTTTAAATAAACCTGCGCTCGTATGTCACCGATCTTGACGCGCTTTTGGTATGTTATAGTACATGGTAAAAAAGACCCAAAACCAAAATTTTAGACCCCCTCCCCCCTCCTACCCCCCACTTCCGGTATAAACGTCCATTTTCTATCTATATTTTTTCTGAAGGCCTGAAGCAATTAAAAAATCTGAAAAAATTCACAAAAATACTTTTCAACAATCCAAACAACCTTGAATTTTTTCAGATTTTTTGAGTGCTTCAGGCCTTCAGAAAAAATTATTGAAAATTTTGAAAATTCATATACGGCGCTACGATGCAATACAAAGCCCGATCTTTTTTTCCACTTATTTTTGACATCAAAATACATAACCTCAAATTTTTTCAGATTTTTTCAGACAGAGCGCTGGCGGTTTTTAGCCGAAAAACGCCCTTTTTTTACGAAAATAATTTTTTTAGGGCGATATGAAGCTTTAAAAAATCTGGAAAAATTTTTTTCTTGTTTTTCAGGTCAAAATACATAACCTTGAATTTTTTCAAATTTTTTAATTGAAGGCGATAGCATCTATGGCTAAAAAACGCTATTTTTATGAAAAACGGTTCCTGGAACCCAGAGGTTCCGGTAAAAAAATTTGAAAAAATTTTTTTCGAATTCCTTGTCAAATTTTAATAAATTTTGACCGTCGCAAAATTTCGATTGGAGCTTCCTAGCTCATTCTAGAGCATAACAAAGATTCGAGCGAAATTCTGAAGAAATTTGAAAAATAATGTAATTGTGATGAACGTCTTCAGAATTTCGCTCGAATCTTTGTTATGCTCTAGAATGAGCTAGGAAGCTCCAATCGAAATTTTGCGACGGTCAAAATTTATTAAAATTTGACAAGGAATTCGAAAAAAATTTTTTCAAATTTTTTTACCGGAACCTCTGGGTTCCAGGAACCGTTTTTCATAAAAATAGCGTTTTTTAGCCATAGATGCTATCGCCTTCAATTAAAAAATTTGAAAAAATTCAAGGTTATGTATTTTGACCTGAAAAACAAGAAAAAAATTTTTCCAGATTTTTTAAAGCTTCATATCGCCCTAAAAAAATTATTTTCGTAAAAAAAGGGCGTTTTTCGGCTAAAAACCGCCAGCGCTCTGTCTGAAAAAATCTGAAAAAATTTGAGGTTATGTATTTTGATGTCAAAAATAAGTGGAAAAAAAGATCGGGCTTTGTATTGCATCGTAGCGCCGTATATGAATTTTCAAAATTTTCAATAATTTTTTCTGAAGGCCTGAAGCACTCAAAAAATCTGAAAAAATTCAAGGTTGTTTGGATTGTTGAAAAGTATTTTTGTGAATTTTTTCAGATTTTTTAATTGCTTCAGGCCTTCAGAAAAAATATAGATAGAAAATGGACGTTTATACCGGAAGTGGGGGGTAGGAGGGGGGAGGGGGTCTCAAATTTTGTTTTTGGGACCTTTTTACTATGTACTATAACATACCAAAAGCGCGTCAAGATCGGTGACATACGAGCGCAGGTTTATTTAAAAAATTCTGAGCCTTACCCATATATGATATTACAGTATCAAATAAATTAAATTCACGTTTGAAAAAAAAAAAAAAAAAAATAAATACATATATGAGGAGGGATATAACATTTATAACATAATTCAAATTACCCTATAAATATCATTGGGGTATAAGCATGATGTAATACTGCACAAAAATTCTGAAAACATTTCTGAAGACGTACTTGGGGACGTTAAGGGATGATAAAAATATTTAACATATTATAAATCTTTTTTGTTCTTTGCATTATATCATTTAAGTGCTTCCAACTCGATCTAGAGCATTATTTATTTATTAAATTTCTTTTTTATTTTTTTTTTTTTTTTTTATTTTTTTTTATTTTTTTTTATTTTTTTTATTTTTTATTTATATTTTTATTTATTTATTTATTTATTTAATCCTCCAGATACATATTGATACAAAAATTCTGATGAATATAACGCGAGAATCACGTAAATAGTTTAAGGGTTGATAGAGGGGTGAAAAATGATCGTATCGATTCCAAAATTTATACAGCACATCTTGGGGTCGCTAGAAAGGTACCATAAAAATTTGGACCCAATCGGTTGAACGGTTATTGAGGTATCGTGTTTACAAGACCGTCCTGAGTTAACAATAGTAGGACTTCGCTTCGCTCAGCTAAACAAAGTTTTGCATTCGCGAATCTTTCCAAATTGTACGATCGATCGAACGAGCGAGTTGCAGCACGGCGTATAAGCAGCGAAAGCTCTCCAAAACTTTTCGCGTGTATACTTAAATATTTGCGTCCGTCAAAAGCTCGCAAAAGTAGAATGTATATACTACGTATCGTGTATAAGTATATATACAAAGGTGCAGCGGCATGGAGGGAGGCCAAAAGTTTCGCGCGCGCGATTTTTCATCGCGCGAGTAAAAGATAAAGCACTGTGTTATACTCTCTCTCTCTCCCTCTCTCGCGAGCACGAAGCGTTTCGAATGAAAACGACGACACACACGGAGCATTATACACTTTAAATATACACATCAAAGCGTATACGTACTCGCACGGTATGGTGCTTGCAATCGAGCGAGAGTACTATTTTCATTTTTCTATAAATATTTTCGTCCGAAACGTGTGCGTTATTTGGCCAAAAACACAGCGAAGAGAGCATCGCACAGCGAGCTTCTCTCTCGCTCCGCGTGGGTGGCAATTAAAAGAAAAAAGAGGAAGAAGACGAAGAAAATATCGCGGTTGCATAAGTTGGAGGGAATTATTTGCTTTGACGCCAAGTATGTGCGCGCGCGTCTATATACAACGAGTTTTCGCGCGAGTATCTCCCGCGCGCGCGAATGAGTTTATTATTATTTCCCGCCGCCGCCGCACGAAAGTGAGAGAGGCCTCGGAGCTCCTTGCCAAAGAGCTTAATTCAGCTTTGTATAATAAGCTCTTCGAGTTGATGATTTCGCGCTAAGACGAGGCAACGCGCGCGTGTATTATTATGCCCAAAGTGACATATCTCGGCGGGCGAGCTGTTTATACGAAATTATTGCGCGCGCTACTCGGCAGAATAATCGAGACTTTATATACACGGTCGAGCTTGCGGCGCTGCAGCAGCAGCCGCGGGAGGTAAACGGCGCGGTGAAAGTATAGTTGTGGAAATTCGAGAGATAATTAATCGTATAATCGCTCGCGTCTGTCTGAAAAGTTTGGGAAAACTGCGACGGGTCGGATATGAAACAACAACGTTGGAATTACGCGCGGGCGAAATAATACAAACAAAAATAACATCGGAAAATTGGAATATATAATGTTTTAATCTCGGTGCGCTCCCGACGTCGAACTGATTTTTAATATATATGCGACGTTGTAGTTGTCGTCGTCGCGTCTATACCCATCCACCCCCGCACAAATGCCCGAGCGGTCGAGAGAACGAAATACGTTTCCAATGATTTTAATCGCATCGGCATTCGAAATTAATATCTACGATTTCAATTTTAAACGTTCAATCATCCTTTTTTTTTTGTTTTCACAGACAGAGCTAATCTATACGTCACGTATATTTATTCTCGGAGTAATCGAGAATTTTTACGGATGTCGTATCGGCCGAGAGGAAAAATAGTAATTGTATCGGACGCTAGACTGCGCCGCTTAGATAATCTCGAAACTCGTACACGAAATAGCGAAGATCGGTAGTTAAAATTACCTATTCAAATAACTGAAAATACATTAAAAAGTCTCCCTCCCAGCTAGAATGTATAATATCCTTACATCTCGATATATTGTATATTATATTATATCGTACCTCTCGCTCAGCTGATCGAACCTCGCGAACAGCTCGTTCAGTATCTTGACGAGCTCGCTGGCCGAGTAGGTGGACGATATCGCGGTGAAGCCCACGATGTCGGCGTACAGTATCGAGACGTTCTCGTGCCGCGACATGTAGATCTTCTTGAACTGGGTGTCCATGGAGGCGCCGAGATCCTGGCGCATCATCACCGCCACGTGCTCGGGCAGCACGCTGAGCAGCAGACGCTCCTGCTCCATCGACTGCTCCTCGATCATCATCTGGACCTCGAGGCTGGACTTGGTCTCGAGGAAGGCGCGACGCTGCTGGAACTCCGACAGCAGGTAGCTCGCGTCGCCGAGGATGCCGGCGCAGAAGCACAGCGTGCCCGTGAGTAGCTGCGCAGCGACAAAAACAAAAATGTCACGTGTCAAAGAAAGAGATATAAAACTGAGGGTACAATTATTTTATGTATTGTATATATTTTATTGTCAATTTAAACCTTTATTTTTGTTAACTATTTTTCTATCTGTCTTCCATATTAATTTTAAGTATTAGTTTTCAAGTATCAAATATACTAAATAATTATTGAAACTAGTTTTTCTTGTAAATTTTTTAGGTACAAAAAAAACTATTAATAAATAAACTTAATTATAAGTAGTAATAAACCATCATAAGTAAGATAACAATAACCGCCCAGTGTCTATAAGATCATTCTGTGTAGGATCTCAATAATAAATACTTTTTTTGTCTGTAAAATAAGCATATCTCATAGAAAAAAAACGATATGAATGTTTGTATTTATAATTTTTGATTTCACGTTTCTTAATTATTGAGGGTAGTTTTCATAATTTGAGACACCATAAAAAATTATTCAAATTAACCTTTTCTCGCTCCCGCAAGAGAGTAAACTCATTAATCTTGAATCAATGACTAAGGATTTAGGCAATAATCTAACAAATTTTATGAATTTCCTAAAAATTCTATGTAATATCTCATTTACAACCATTCGCAAACGTTTTTATGTTCCACTAACTGACTTGTTTACAAATGTTATGCGTGCTCATAACTTTATTTCTTAGGAATGAAGTGCCTAAATGAGTCGTTCACAGAGTCCGTAAAATAGTACAGACGCTCGTATTATTTACTTTCAAAAGAGAAAATAATTGAAACTGGAAACAAAAGTTTCTTTCTCAAGTCAAAGTGGGCCAACTTCAAATAATTTTATTGTAAGATGAATTGAATAAAATTATGGTCTTTATATAGTAATCGAAATTTTGCCACTTACTGATTTACAATACACCATCTATTGACGAAATCGAAAAGCTTTTAATCAAAATATCACACCTCAAGATTAACCACGAATCCTGTTAGTAAATAATACAACACGAATTCCGTGAAATTAGTCCTAAACATTTTCCAACCATACCAACTTGCAAATAGATGACTACGAGTGCTCGTGTATCGTATATTACATACGTCATTACTTAATGACGAACGGCTATATGATCCCTTCGAGATTTTCCGGGCGATATTTACAAGTATATACATTACGAAGTAGCGTGTGTCACTGCCTCTCGATNCCCCCAAAAAAAATGTTTACGCTGCCTCGATGTTACAGCCAAGTGGTATATGTCTCGGATAACAAAATTCGTTTCCGAACGATTAACCACCGCCTATATAACCACCGCGGCACGAGTCACGTGGCGGACTCTTTTGCCGAATGATCGAGTTTTATTATTTGACGCGCGTTGCCGGAAATCATCGCGCTGTTGTTGTTATCGACGCGCTCGCGCAGCCCAACGCGCGAATCAATATCAATAACGCTGTAAAAATATTTTTTCAATGTATACGACCCGTTGCGTCGTGTGTTTCGAGTGAAAGCTTTTCGAGCTGCGAGCGAGCGAGCGAGAAAAATAAAACAACGCCGAAAGCTCGTACGATGCGCGCGATGCGTATGTTACGTATATATTGGCAAATTAAGCACCTGCAGCAGCCGCGAATGATTCATGTCCTCGTGTGCTCGCTGTAATTAATTAATTTCTGGTGCCCACCAACACGCACTGCAGTTGCAACAAAACAAAAAAAGAGAAGAAGAGTATCAGCGAGACACCTCGATAAATATTTACTCTCCTGCTGCTGCTGCTGCTGCTTTTCGCGCGCCGCGCATGGTTAACCATATAATTCATTGTGTGCACAGTACTGCCACTCGTTCTATATAGCTTTGCTTGCTGTATTGAATTTAATCACCCGATATATATGTGCAGCAGCAGCCACCGCCACCGCCGCATCCATTATTCAGCGATGCGTTATAAAAGAACACACACACACATACTCCCTACTCCGCTGCGCGCGACGTTATCTATTTATTCTTTTTCTCTTTTGTTAATCATGTCAGGCTTGAAATTGGATTTATACACAGACACGGTATAGTCGTGCTTTTTAATCGCGCACGAAGGGACGTATTCGATAAAAGAAGAGATAAAGCAAAAAAAAAAAAAAAACTGTAACCCTTTGCCGCGAGGGGGTGGAGCAAAATTGTCTTTTCGCAAAGTGTATATACTTTGAAAGTCAACCGAAGAGTCAACAGAGCGCACACACACACCGAACTTTGATTCGGTCTTACATAAAACATTCGCCGACATGGAATAAAAAAAAAAGATGAACGGGGTATAGGAGGAATCACGGATCAAGGAAAGCGTAGCGTACACACAAAAGTCCGTTAATTGGTTTTTCCATCGGGGATTTTTCTCTGTGTCGAGCCGAGGAAGACTCGGCTCGGCTGCGCGCGAACATTATTCGGTTGCGCGACGACAACGACTCTTTGTTGTCTCTCTGCTATGACTGATATTCGCGTGCACATCTACACGCACACACACACAAAGATATACACTTTGAAAATCAAGGTAGAAAAAAGAGAGAGAAGAGAAAAATCGATACGCAGACGTTTCGAGCGATTATCGTGCAGCGCGTATAAATGTGTGTAAGCAGATGTTGCCGCTGTGACACACAAACGGACACCTGTGTCCCGACTGGTATAGAAAAAATGCTCGATCACGCGCGTGACGAGCTTTTCATTATTATTTTCCGTTTTTTTTTTTTTTTTGCTCTTTCGTACGATTTGTCTGTTCTCTCTCTTTCTCTCGAACAAATCCCTGTGTCGTCGAAACCCGACTATTAGCGATCGCCCCTCGCGCTTATTCGCATGGATTTTATTTTTCGTTTGCAGCTGGCTCTGGAGCTTGCGATCGGAACGTTATGCTCTTTATGAAAAAAAACCTTGAATTTGATGCAGATTTAAAACGATGTATGATCGGTTCTGATTCATAATTTAACTTTCGCCACACAAAAAATGTATGAAAGTAGAATCGCGTGCATTATTTTTAATGCAAAAATGAACGAGATTTAATTTTGCTCTCAAATTTGAACATTGGAATTGGCTCAAAAAAATCCATGAAAATTCAATTGTAATTAAAGCCAGTGTCCACCGCCAGATGGCGAAGTGCCTTTATCTGTGATTCCGCAAGTGACCAAGTAAACATAATTGTATGTATTAATCAAAAAATGAACGAGATTTAATTTTACTTTCAAATTTGAACATTGGAATTGCCTCAAAAAAATCCATGATAATTCGATTGAAATTAAAGCCCGTGTCCATCGCCAGATGGCGAAGTGCCTTTATCTGTGATTCCGCAAGTGACCAAGTAAACATAATTGCATATAAATCCGAGAGTATGAAGCATACTTATAACAGCAGTGTTATGCCATTATAACGTGAAAAACATCGTTGTACTTATTCGTAGTTAATTTTCTCAGTTATTTAGCGGCTCTCTATCGAGCTTCTCGCCGAGCGATGATGTATAAAATAAACGCACGTAAACGCTCTCGAGTAATTCGTTTGTAACCCAAGTATACGGGGAGGACAGGACTGTTTTAGTTAGTAGTGCAGCTGCTACTCAAGGGGGCTATTACCTGTATATACTTTTACAGCCAACTATAAACGTTACTCCCTGAAAAATTACGCGACGATTGCGCTTTTAAAAATCTAATGATCGCAAGTTTTTAGACCTTCGACTTTTAAACCTCATTTTCGAAAATTGATGTCACACATTTTTGGGATTTTCCTATCGAACTAGAATTCGCAGATTGTTATTATTCAACGTCCAAACGCTGACACATTATAGTAGTGGTACCGGTCGCCAGATTGCGCAGGTTAGACCATCTCGAAACTCGTACACAAAATAGTAAGGATGGATAGTTATTTGATGTAGGGAAATAATATTGTGCATGGAAGTGGATCCAAGGAGCAAAAGAAACCAAAAAAAAGCTCCAAAAGCTCTCGCTGCGACTGTGTCTAATCGAGGCCGCGCGTCGAGCACGCAAAACACACGTACACACCGTGTGAAATTCCATCCTCGCGCCGAGCTCCTTATATATTATATACGCGAGCGATTTTACATACTCTCGACCGCGATATATGTATAGATATATATCATAACGCGCGATATGTATAATCAATGCACCGCAGAGCCAGAGCCTGCATAATAATAAATATATGCGAAGGCGCGCACAGGGTGAGAGGGTGGGTAGGTAGGTAGAGAGAGTCTTATCGTCGAGCAACTGTGCAAATTGCACCCAGTCTCAAGGACTTATAAATGCAGCAGAAAATATAGCATATCGCGCGCGTTTTAATATATAAAACATGCATACGTGTATTATATATAGAGAGGGGTCTGGCTGAAATACCGATGTAATATGTAAATAGGCGCTTTCGGCTTTATATATACGCAGCGACCAACGCCGCGCGCGAGAGAGAGCTTGACCACTTGTGCATCGATGTTTTTTTCTGCTCTACTACTCACTCCTCGCGTTTCAGCTGTAGCCTTTAATACCCCCCGCGGCTTAACAGCGAACTGCATCAGCTGCTGCTGCTGCTGCTGAGCATCGGAAACATATCGCGCGCGTCCTGACCGTGAAACTTTCATACAACGTCGCTTCGCTAATTTCTTTCTTCTTTCTTTCCTATGTATATATGTATTGGATTCTCAAGGTCTCTCGCCGCGATGATCTTTTTTTTTCTCTCTTGTACACATTGACATCGCGAACTGGAAAAAATTCAATTGAACTTCGACGAAATGTCAACTGTGAGCCGTCGTGTATTTGCTGTACGCGAGTAAAAATAACGAGCGTACGTGCAGCAGCAGCGGCAGCGGCACGCGCGCGTCAAAAACAAATAGAATTGAAAAGTATAGCAAATTGTAGAATCGAAATAGCAGCAGCAAAAAATTCCATTTCTTTATTTCGCGTTCGTTATAATAAAAAAAACGTCATGATGTACACAGGCGTGTGCACGAGAAAAGAAAGAAAAAAAAAGAAGAGGAGGAGGAGGAAGAGCTGTCATCGAGTGGTACACATTGTATACCAGGCGGGAGGCACTGCTGTATATATATATTGTATATAAAATAACGTACACGAGCCTCGTTGACGACCTTAACTTTCCTTGACTCCGCGAAGCCGACCCAGAGAGCTTTTATATTATGCCTCGCATTGTCTTATCGATCAAAAAAAAAAGGAGAAGAAAATGTGTATTATCGTTTGATACTAGCCGATTACGTATATAGCCTCTGATTACAACTGTACAATATTAGCCACGGAGAAACAGGTGGTTACAAACACAATACGACTCTAGCTATTACGGAAACAAATCGATCATGTATCCATAATGTACGAACGCAAAACACACGGGGGGATTCTCGCGCTATTTTTTCCCTTTAAAAATAATACAGCTTCAATGCGATGACGCCCGAGCTCGACGCGAGCGCGTCATTATCACAATAGCGGAATAGGCTAAACGGCATCTCTCGTTTATATATATAACACGCTTGGCGCGTGTATTTCCCGCAAAAAAGCTCCATATAATACAAGGGACGACGACAGCAAAAAAAAAAAAAACAATTCATAACTAATTTTCGGTCACGCGCGCGCGAGTATATTATATACACTCCGAGGGCGAGAGCGAGAGAGAGATGATGATTCTCTGTTCTCTCCGCAATTCGCGAGTAAATATTTTTCTTTCATTTCGACACGCGCGCGAAGAGCGCTTCGGGTGATAAAAAAAAGGGAGAGAGATAAAGAGAGAGAGAGAGAAAAGACTTCACGCTGGTCGTGAAATTAAAAGAGAGAGAGAGAGAGAGAGAAAAAAGGCAAAACGGCGTGCCCACGCGTCACATTAATCAACGACCGAGTGCGATTATATATACAGAGAGAGAGATGCAGGATATAAAACGTTCGAAAAGCCATTAGGTCGTGCGAATTGTGTATTTGTATTAGCGAATGGGGTCTAATTTTTTTTTTGTCGTCATTGGCGAGTTATCATGGTGCACGCATCTTTGGACGTGTCGTTTCGAAGGATCAGGCCACCGATCGATCAACCGCAAGCTCCTTTCATTCATTCGCATCCTTTCCATACACCTTATATATATATATTGACCCGCATTCGATAAAAAAAAATACGTGCATTTTTTTATTTATCATCGGTAAAAAATTAAAATCAGCGTAATGTTTTAAGGGGAAACAGTCGATAACATTGTCTTTTCATGAATCATCTGTATTTAAAAAAAAATTGACTCACTATGACGTTGACGGACACGTCGAGATTCGACAATCCGTAGACCGAACCCAGATAAGCCGCAGTCGTCGCCACGGCCAAACCCAGACACAGCGACAGCCTCAGCGGCAGCGTGGCGAAGTGCAGATACACCAGCATCAGTAACCAGCCGAAATTGTCTCGCGGCGTCACGTCGTGGCCGTCCTTCAGGAACAGCGGCCCGATCAGCTGGGCCGAGCTCACCAGCCAGGCGAGATACGGCACCGAACGCTGCCAGCAGCCGTCGCTCCTGGGCTTGGTGGCCCACTCGGACCAGGCGAGCAGGGCCAGATTCACGGCGAGGCCCACGCCGACCGGGATCCTGACCATCGTGTGCGAGTCCGGCAGGCCGATCGTGTAGAAGTCGTAGAGCACCGCCGAGACGAGGAAGTATTGGAGACCGCCTCGGCGCTCCTTGAGGGCGGAAAGGCGGTAGAGCTCCTCGAGCTTGGGATCGCTGAAGCCGAGCTTGAAGACGTTGAGCGGTCGGCCGTTCTTGAGGTACGACTCCTCGTTGGTGAGCTGCTGCTCTTCTTGGTGCAGCGACATTATTGCAGGAGGAGGAGGAGGAGGAGTAGGAAAAGGGTGTACAAATGGGCAAGGATGCGACTTTTTTTGCTGCTGTTGTTGTCGATAACTCTACGTTAAACCACTAAAGCTCCCTTTACTTTTTTTTCATTCTCTCGGGACGTAGCCGAGCATCCGAAGCCATGCTGCCTCGGGATTATCCTCTCTCTCTCTCTATCGCACAACGATGCGCGTATCTCGTTGATCCAGTTCGATGATCGACGATCGAACTACTCGACGATTCATTCCTTCCTCTCCCTGTATCCGATCTATATTACCACCGTCATCTCGCTCTCTCTCCTAGGCCTGACGACGACGACTGCCCGCTACGAGCTCGAGCTTGCGATCAGCTGCTGCTGCTCCTACTATAACTCTCATTGCACTGCACTGCACTGCACACACACATACACACAACACCTCGTGCAACAGCAGCAGAGCCTCGAGGTTAGAAAACGGACGAGCACAAATAATAATGCATCGTCGTCGTTCACAGTGTCAGCACGTACAAGCAGATCAGCGTGCAGATCAGCAGCGTCAGCGTGAACCCAAGCATGTGTCGTCGCTGGATAATTATAAATAATAAAAAAAACAACGTATTGCGAGCACGCTTCCCCGATATTATTCCGCACTTGCGCACTATATATTATATTATTGTAAACGCACTGCACAGAACTGCAACTGCACACTGCACGAGAGCACAACAATAACAACAACGACGACGAACGAGCAGCACGCAGCTGCGGTAGTAGTAGGCGCTTAAACAGGAGGAGAGAGACTGACTCGACTTGACTGAGAGAAAAAAAGCTCGTGTGCTCGCGCGGCTGCAAGCTCTGCAGTGAGCGCGCGCACATACACCAACACGACACACTGGTCTCTCTCTCTCTCTCTCTCGCGTGTTCGCGAGCGCTAGGCAGGGAGGACTGGCCGGGTAACTGCTCCTGAAACGACTGCTTTCTGCTATCGTGTGCCAGCGGGGAGAGAATCCTCTCTCTCTCTCTCTCTCTTTCGCTCTGTGCGAGGCTCGTGTGTATGTGGACTTGCGCGTAGCCGTAGTAGCACAGAGAGAAAGAGAAGTGAGAGAGAGAGAGAGAGAGGAAGGGAGAGAGAACTCTGCCTGCTAACCAACCGGTCGATATATCCCCCTGCGACTTCGCTATATATACCGCGGAGCAGAACAGCAGTTGTGCTGACTGAGGCGAGAGCTTTTATATACCAACATATATGCGCGCGCAACGATCGCACAAGCCGCCGCCGTCGTCGCCGCCGTGCCAAAGCTACTGCCTCTGCTGCTACTACTGGCACTGCTCTTGCCAGCGCGCGAGTGCTCTATCTCTCAGCGGGGTTGCATACATATATAGTGTACAAGAGAGAGCGAGAGATTCGAGCCTACATAGCTAGTACCTGTATATATATAGCAGCGGCGTGCTGTAGCCCGATCAATTTGTTACCCCTCAGCTTGACGAGCTTTTTTTTTCCCTTCACGCGTCCAATTTTCGATGTATAGATTTATATTATGTTCTCTCGCCAGCGCGCACAAGGTGAACGTTCTCGTGCCAGCAGCAGCAGCAGCATCAGCCGCCACGCGCTATATCTACTAGCAAGCTGCAAGCTCTCCCAAGGAGACGCGCGAAAAGATACATACGAGTCTATATGCTAGCGAGCTGCTACACACAGAGGGCTTTTTATTGCGCCCGAACTGTCTCTCAAACTCGCTCGGGGCGCTCTCTCTCTCTCTCTCTCTCTCTCTCTCTCTCTCTCTCTCTCATTTATTTTTCCGCGGGCACAAGAGAGAGAGAGAGAGAAAGAGATTTATTGCCTACCACACGCGGGGCAATCTCGAGCCGAGAGAGAACAAGAGCCTCGGAAAGCTCGCTGTGTGCGCGCGATATTATACGGCACGCGTGTGCGCGCGTGTTTCCTTGGGATTCAGCGCCGAGTTTAGCATGCCTTATTATAAACGCGATCCGCTCTTACGTCGCGCGTTTACGTAAGCAAATTTTCGTACTCTTTTTGAGCGGATTAAATCGTGTACTTGCAAGCCCACCCCCCACACACACTCGATGATACGATGAAAAATGTCGCGTCGTCTTGGTGTATGCGATCTTAACGCAGCATGACGTACACAGCTCTGACAACGCGGCGCCGCGCGTACTATGTGTATACTCGAGAGAGCGTTGCAAATCCGTCTATTCATTCGAAGGATTAATCCCGGGAATCCGAGTAGACCATGCGGGAGCGAACGAGCTCCGCGTGTAATTTTCGAATTCTCGTATACGCGCGCTCTCGCTAGCCGCACGTATGTACGCGTGTATCAAGATACGAGGCTATAAAGCTCCGACACGCGTACGCTCGCGCAAAGCTCGGGGATGCGACGCGTTGTATAGCAGCGATTAAAACGATAGTGGAAAGTTTTAGAAAATGTTCGATGATCTACTGGAGAGAAAGAACGATAATTTTTTGAATGAAATGGGACGATGCTATCTTTGATGGATATAGAATGAATCGGGGAAAAAAGTCGTAGTTTCTCGCTCAATTTTCGAGTGATTAATCTTATATCATATTGGAGAGTGATGTGGTTTTTAGTGTGAACAGTTTTGAAGCCCTTTGAATTAGTAGCTCAGCTTCGGTATAAAAATATTTTGAATAATTTATTTTGACCTATCAGTAAAAAAAACTTTAAAATTTTTTATTCGACACGATCTTATATTCTTTTTGATTCATAAATTTTTATTCCATAATAACTCGTTCGTAGTTCTCAAAGTCAAACGATTTCTCAAAAGACGCATAATATAAATTTTAAATGCGATCACGAATAAATAGGTTTTTTGATAAATGAACTTACATAAGTGATCTTTATTATTTTGTGTATGATTTTCGAGAAAATAAACTTGCGCTGCCTGACGGTCAATACAACTACCAATGCAGCACCCGGACGATATGACGAAAACGACTCTTTTATCTAAATAGATTATTCTGCTATCATGCTAAGATGATTAATTTTTTTTTTCTAATAGTAATTATCCTCATTAGTAAAAGAAGTTCAAAAAATGTTTGAAGTACTCATGTAAAATTCATTATTATCGATACGAAAATATGTATCGACTTTTGAGTATATTATTCCGAGTAATCTGATGTATAGTACTAACTGACATAAGCTATATAGATGTAAATCTTCAATTTTTTATTTTCCGATGAATTTTTATTAGATCTTCAAATAGATTAAACTCAACTCAACTCAAAGGAAAAAAAACAAACAAATCATTTATTCACATTTGTTCATCAAACTTTCGGTTGACCATGATGTATGTACCGGGACTCTAGTTTATTTGTGAAACTAACTCGTTTAGTAATGTCATTGGGTTGATTTTTCAAACATGTCGTCAAACCTAAATTCGGAAATTAACGAGGAATGGGTTGAGAAATTTTGCTCTCCAGAGTCTCAATTGTTGCTATTAATAATGCGTACTTGCTGTATATGGCCTTTTCAAGATAAAAATCAACAATTCTTGGGAAGAATATTTATCATAATTATGTATATAATTTTTGTCATCGGTCAGGTACGTATTTTTGACATGACATAATACCACTTTTCCAATAATTTATCACGTGTTCAGGTTATAAAGATGACTGAAAATACAAAGGAACACGGTATTAATATTGGTCTTTTTATTGAAGATTTATTCCAAATAATAACTACATCAATGTTACTATATGTTTACCCGTTTATGATTTGGAATTACGATAAAGTAACAAAAAAAATTCAATCAAAAATCAAAATTGACCATTTGTTTCCAATACAATTAAATTATGAAATGCTTGATAATTTTAAGATTATTATGGCTGTCGTTTATATGAAAAGAGTCCTGGAAAACAATGATAAAATTGGACAAGGCATGGTTAAAAAGTTTTACGAGAAATCGAATCGTTTCAGTTTTGTTGTTACCAGTCAGTAGTAGTTTTACGCATTCGTAATTATAATAATACAATAAAATATACTTTTTTGTAGTGATTTTCATTCCAATAACAGCAAATATTGCATTTGCTCCGGTAGTTATTCCGATATTATTAACACGATTTTTACCAGGAAATCAAACTTTCCCGAAAGCTCTACCACTTCATGCGCAATTTTTCATCGATGAAGAGAAATACTTTTATTATTTGTTTGCTTTTCAGTCCTTGACTATAATAATTTATTTTACGGTAATAGGAGGATTGGGTTCTCTTCTATATTTAGGCGAAGGATTCATCGTTGGTGAATTTCAACATTTGCAGTAAGTGAAGACTGCTATGAAAATGCGTCGATTGACGTTGAACTTCTTTCACATAAAATAAATATAATTTGTATGTATTTTAAAAATTCACTTCTACTTTTTAGATATTATATGAATCAAACTGACTCTTGCTATAACTGCATGGTTTCTAGAAATAAAAAAAATGCTCACGACTACCTTACCAAAAGGCTTATTTATTTTATTCAACAACATCAAAGATGTATAAAGTAAGCTATTCTTGAATTTTAAAATGAAAGATCTCAGTCTTAATAACTTAAATAGACTGTATGAAATTTTATTTTTCCTGTCCGAATCGATCATGTTTGTGACAATGGTCGGTACATCGAGTATCCTCATCACATCCTGCACTTCGGTGAATATTTTCAAATAAATCAATTGTTAAATAATTTTCATCCTTAAAAATGTAGAATAATAAATAAAACTAAATCAATAATAAATTTAGATGGTGGTCTTAATGGATTCAGACGCACTAATGGCTATAAGAATGTTGTTTATAAGCTTTGCTTCATTGACTGTAATTTTATTTATATGTGTTCCTGGCCAATTTTTGAGTGATGCTAGCAATAAATTATTTACTGAGTGGTAGTATTACTTCATAAATGAATACTCACAAAAATGTTGAATTGATCAAACTTTTGACATCCTCACAAAATCCTCGCAGTTATTGTGTCGATTGGCACGGGTATCATCCAAAAGCTCGAGTTTTGTTAGTGCTAATATTATTAAGGACGATGAAACCTTTCATATTGAGAGCAGGATTTTTAGCTGATATGAACTTTGAAACCTTTAGCTCGGTAAGATTATCTATTTGAATATCAAAAATTCGTACGACTTTCGTTAATCATGAAATTTCATTTTAGGTCCTAAAAAAATGCATGTCATTTATAACAGCTTTTAGATCAGTTTATGCCTCGCTTTGATTTTAAATTATTCAAATCATTTTTCCTTTAAAATATTATTGTAATAATTACTATGAAAATGGTCGAAAAATATCCAAATACATGCTCGCTCCTCTTTGTGCACGAAAGATCAGATTACTATTTGAGTATATGGTCAAATCTCAAAATAAAATTCCGTTTCGTTAACAAAAAAAGGTGACATTTTTTTTGCATGCCCAGCGGCCCTGACCCCCGCAAATTGTTCATAGGACCTCCAGAAGTGAAAAAAAACGCGTGAACATGAAATTTGAAAATAGTTAATTATTTTTGGGGCACTTTTGTGTTTTAGACGCCGAAAAGTCATCTTTTCAAGCAAATACGACTTATTACTCGATTTCCAAGTCGTTGTAAAAGTATCAAAACTCATCTGAAAAATTTAACTGACTGCTGTATTCGATAGGAAATTTCCTCCGCTTTCCGATTATAATATCACATTTTCCGAAATATCCAATTTTGACCGTGAAAATCGCCATCAAACATTGAGGGCTAAATACATCGAAAAATTCAGTACGGAAAAAGTGAAATTTTTGGATTATTTTCGATTTTTCCTTGTGAAAATGAGATTTTTCGGAAAATCTAACTGCGCCATGAGAAAGCTGAGGAAATTTCCTATCGAAAGCATATCTTCATTTATTTTTTGAGCCGAATTACAATCCTATACGAACGTATTTTGACTCCCCTGTTCTCCGTTTTCAGTTTTCAGAGCGGTCTTGAGGTTTTTAGCGTTGCACGGCTCACTACAATCGAAATTCGATATGCTTTCGATAGGAAATTTTCTCAGCTTTCTCATGGTGCAGTTAGATTTTCCGAAAAATTTCATTTTCACCAGAAAAAATCAACAAAATTTCACTTTTTCCGTACTGAATTTTTCGACATATTTAGCTCTCAATGTTTGATGGTGATTTTCACGGTAATAATTGGATATTTCGGAAATTCGAATAGTACCATCGGAAAGCTGACAAAATTTCCTATCGAATACAGTAGTCAGTTAAATTTTTCAGATGAGTTTTGATACTTTTACAACGACTTGGAAATCGAGTAATAAGTCGTATTTGCGTGAAAAGATGACTTATCGGCGTCTAAAACACAAAAGTGCCCCAAAAAAAATTAACTATTTTCAAATTTCATGTTCACGCGTTTTTTTTCACTTCTGGAGGTCCTATGAACAATTTGCGGGGGTCAGGGCCGCTAGTCACGCAAAAAAAAATGTCACCTTTTTTTGTTAACGAAACGGAATTTTATTTTGAGATTTGACCATATATAGTTGTATTAATTTTCTGAAATCAAATAAAAATCAATGTGACAAGTACATACCTTATTATAAAGTATTTAAAAGAAGAATATAATAATTATCAAGATACTTACATCAATTAATTGTGAATGAAATCATGTGATTAGTATCATTTAATCACTTAATTTATCAGCCTTAATTTTTAGTTATTTGGGACTAAGAACAAAAGCCTATTAATTTTCTAATTATTTGTTTGAATAGCATCAGAAAAATCTGAGTTTGTTCCTATATTTTCATGAAATTAAATCTTAAAAAGTACGTAAAGTTCCCTTATTAGATAAAATAATTAAAGTTTTGACATAACTCGTCCAATACCATGAGACCCAAATTTTGACTAATTTTTCCACGTTTTATTTTTTTATGAAACCATTGTCAAATTAATGTAAAAATATCATGTATTATGGGATTCTTATCTCTCTTTTCAAATCTGGCCTCAAATTTATGATTTTGCGACCGTTTCAAAAATACATTTGTTTAAACACAAAAACGTGGTTTTTGAACATTTGTCTTTAAAATAATCATATTTTTCACCACGATTACGCATTCGAATCGGGTTAAAATTCTGGATCTGGTGGCATGTAGTACTATATTAAAAGTTAGCGGCGTTGGTTGGTTTGTTTAGATTCAAGATGGCAGCAGCAAAACAGCTGATTCGACTATTATTGGCTAAAAGATGATACAGCATATGTTATAATGCTATTGAGATTTTTTGACTCGCAAACAATGCACTCTACGAAACAATGTTATGGAACGAAAATTTCTTAAAATTGATCAAGAAACACGCGTAAATTTTTCAGAACTTTTTGGGTGATTTTGGAAATTGTTATAAAATGGCCATTTCCGAAATATCCAAAATCGTCTAAAAAATTCTGAAGAAATTCACGCGTGTTTTTTTATCAATTCTTAGCAATTTTCGTTTCATAACATTTTTACGTAGAGTCCATTCTTTCCGAGTAAAAAAATACCAAAGCTCTTTTTTACATTTTCGGCTACAATCAGCTGTTTAGGTGGCTGCCATCTTGAATCTAGATGAACCAACGCCGCTAACTTTTAATATAGGACTGTATGCCACCAGATCCAGAGTTTTAACCCGATCCGAATGCGTAATCGTGGTGATAATTACGATCATTTTGAAGACAAATGTTCAAAAACCACGATTTTTTTTATTTTTAAACAAATATATTTTTGAAACGGTCGCATAAATCGTAAATCAAACGCTAAATTCGAAAAGAGCTATAAAAACCACATAATATATGGTATCTTTACATAAATTTGACAATGGTTTCACGAAATATTGGACAGGATAATCATGTAAAATTCAATATTATTGATACGAAATTATACGTACAACTTTATTATTTCAGGTGGTCTAGATATTTAATACTAACCGATATAGATAGATTTATGTCTTTAATTTTTTATTTTTCGATCAATTTTTAATAAAATTTGAAATAAATAAAAGTTGGTTTTCTTTGAAAACCCAACAAATATTATTTATTCACATTTTTCCATAAAACTTTTTCTTTGCTATGATGTGTGTGTTAGAGCTAATATTTATTCACGCAGTAAACTCGTACAGAAACATCATTATTGGGTTTATATTTCAAACATGTCGTTGAATCAAAGTACGGAAATTTACGTGGAATGGGTTGAAAAATTTTGCTCACCAGACTCTCAAATATTGCTGCTAATAATGCGTACATGCTGTTTATGGCCTTTTCAAAATAAAAAGCTACGATCATTGGGAAGAATATTTATACTATTCATTTTTATTATTTTTCTGATTGGCGGGGTAAGTATCATTTTTAACATAATTTGGAACCACTTTTTCAATAATTTCTTTTATGTTTAGATCATCAAAATAACTGAAAATACTAAAGAATCTGGTTTCAGAAGTACGCTTTTCATCGAGGATATATTTCAAGTAATAGTTTCATTAATGATGATGTATGTTTACCCCTTCATGATCTGGAAATACGATAGAGTACCAAAAAATTTTCCGATTAAAAAAAAGCATATAACCATTTAGTTTCAATTGATTATTAAATGCCTAATAACTTTTAGATTGTTATGACTGTCGTTCATATGAAAAGAGTCCTTGAGAACAATGATAAACTTGGACAAGCCATGGTTAAAAAGTCTTACGAGAAATCGAATCGTTTCAGTTTGTTTATAACTAGTCAGTAGATTTACTTATCAGTGAAAATTAATTATTATTCAAGACAACTTAATTATTTACAGTGTTATTCATCCCAATTACTGTAACCTTTGCAATTGCACCATTGGTTATTCCAATTTTATCGACACAATTTTTACCAGGAAATCAAACGTTTCAAAAAGCTCTACCGCTTCATGAGGAATTTTTTGTTGACGAGGAAAAATACTTTTATTATTTGTTTGCATTGCAGTTCCTAACTATTATGATATATTGTACCATAATAGAAGGGCTAAACACTCTTTTGTATTCAGGCGTAGGATTTATCGTCGGTGAACTTCAATACTTACAGTAAGTGCATAAATGACGCGAAATTTTTGCATAACATTGATTTCTTTTTTCAGGACATTGATAAAACGTGTAATACCTTAATTTTACATTTCAGATATTATTTGGAAAAAACCGACTCTTGCTACAACGACATGGTATCTGAATGTAAGGATATCGCTTACAACTTCCTTACCAAGAGTCTTGTGTATTTTATCGAGCAACATCAAAAATGTATCAAGTAAGTTTTTTTTATGTTGAAAAGCGACGGGAAAATTACTATTTTGCATTGAGTATTTCGATGAAAAATGAAAACACGAGATATCGTTTTCGATTCAATAAAAATTATAAAAATATTATTAAGATTTTTTCGATACGAAATTATCATTTTTAAATGACCTGTATAGGCTATACGAAATTTTATACCTCTTAACCGAATCAATCATGTTCGTGTCAATGCTGGGTTGCTCTACTAGCCTCATCATAGCCTGTTCTGGGGTGAATATCATCAAAATTAATAAATTCATTGGAAAAAATTGAAAAAATACTTTTTAATCAAATTCAATATTCGATACTATACTTGAATTTTTTATAATTGTATCCATATCAATAACTCAGATGGTAATTTTTATGGACTCAGACGTGTCAATGGCTCTAAAAATGTTGGTTTTGTGCATCGCCACTTTGTCGGTAATCCTATTCATATGTATCCCTGGTCAATTTTTGAGTGATGCTGGCGATGAGCTCTTTACTAAATGGTAATATTACTTCATAAATAAAAATTCACAAAAATGTGGAACTTATCAAACTGTCATCCTTATAAAATTCTCGCAGTTATTGTGTCGATTGGCACGGATACCCGCCAAAAGCTCGAATATTGTTGGTCTTAATACTATTAAGAACTATGAAACCTTTGCAATTGAAAGCAGGATTTTTAGCCGTTTTGAGCTTCGAAACCTTCAGCTCCGTAAGACTATTTATTTGAGTATTAAAAATTCTACGAACATTCATTGATGCTAAACTTCCCTTTTAGGTATTAAAAAAGTCAATGTCATTCGTAACAGCTTTTCGATCGATATATGCTACGCTTTGATTTAAAAATTTTACTGCAATGATCCTGCGTTTCTCCTACTACTTAGTTTTATATTTACCTAATTAATTCAATAATTACGATGAAAAATGTTGAAAACCATGTGAATCTCTCATCCTAATACACAAAAATTCACACTATTATTTATGAAAGTTGAGATAATAATTCACCCTGTTACACAAAAATTCATACTATTATTTGTGAAAGTTCAGTTAATAATTCAACTTAAAATTAATTTTTTCTTCAATTTAATAAAAATTTGAGCAATTATATTTATCAACATTTTCTTTTCTTAACCTCAAGTAAACCCATTTCCATACATTTTTAAATCTAAACGTGCAAGTGTTCCTAAACAGCGTCGTTATATAAGTTTGGATAAGAAAAATGAATTGATTATCAATACATTTACAAATGGACACTCTATTGGGCATCGGCAAGCATCTTTTCAAATCTTTTACGAACGACGATTATATAAACGCGAAAAGATAATTATGGTTTGCAGCACAAAAATTTGAAGTATCAACATTTTTGTTGGAGGGAAAAGGCATAGCCGCGTAGCTATCACTGTTGCATGCGGGTACACCTCGCTAAGTTCCTTAGATGAGCAAGTGTTTACAAATCGATCAATTTGGCCTGTAGTGTTGGCTATTCGTGGCGTTTAACCTCAAATGTTTTCTCAGCGTAGAAAGTGAAAATTAGCAGTGTTACATATAATAAAGCGAGCGATGGAAAGCGTCGGGGACGTGGTTAGGTATAACATTTTTGTGTAATTAATGATATTTTACAAAGCAATCGCACTTTAAGCAATCGCACTTTATCGCACTTTATTATTCTGCAGAGTGAAGGAAGAGTCGAAAGATACTTGGCCAGATGCAGGAGACGATCAGAATTTTGATTCTTTGGACTTTGACAACTTTGAAGCGAGAAACGTTGAAACATTCTTGGGTTATAAATCATCGGTGAGTTCTATAATTTGATGAATGTTTTGTTTTTCCATTACCAGAAACTATTACACAATTTCAGTTTCAGGCAAATCACATTAATGAGGTTATGGCGTTATGCGAAAGGTTAGATGAAAAAATATTCATTGATTTCGAGTGCAAAGATGTTAAACTTGAATTGAAATCTCTACCGTCAAGCATCTGTAAAACTGAAAATGAAAATGTTCCATCCATTGTGAAAATAGAAAATCAAAGTTACACTTACTGCTTGAGTGATGAAAATCAAGTAATTTTGATTAAAAACGAATTAGATGATAGCGTCAGTCAAGTTCAAGTGAATTCTCAAATGAAAGTTAAGAGACATAGGGAGATTAAAAAGTTAAGACAAACTTCTTAAACCAAACAATCACACGAGTGTAAAATATGTCGGAAAACTCATAAAAATGGATCGACTTTAAGAAGACATATCTGTACGACCTATGAAAGCATTAACCCCTTCGAATGTGAAATTTGTCACGAATCATTCGGACAACAGTGTACTCTAAATAGACACAAAAATTAAGTACATCGTCAGATTAAATCCTTTGAGTGTGATAATTGTAATAAATCATTTGGATTAAAATCGAACCTCAAAAATCATACAATTGGAGTTCATGTTCACAGCAAATCATTTGAATGTAAAATTTGTTATACATTATTTGGAAAAAATGGTGAACTCAAAAGTCATGTAAATACAGTTCATGAACGGAGCAAACCCTTCGATTGTGAAATTTGTCACAAATTATTTCGTGATAAGAGTACAATAGACACATGAGTGCAGTAGGCATGTTCGTATCAAACCATTTGAGTGTGATATTTGTCACAAATCATATAGCCGCAAGTATAATCTCAAGAATCACATAATAGTGGTGCATAATTGGAGAAAACTTTTCGAGTGTGGCATTTGTAAAAGATCATTTTCATTAAAGGGTAACCTCAATAAACACATAAATGCTGTACATGTTCGCATCAAACCCTTCGAGTGTGAAATTTGTCACAAACCATTTGCCATGCCTTATATTATAAACGTATCCGCTCTTACGTCGTGCGTTTACATAAGCAAATTTTCGTACTCTTTTTGAGCGGATTAAATCGTGTACTTGCAACCCCAACCCACACACGATGATATGATGAAAAATGTCGCGTCGTCTTGGTGTATGCGATCTTAACGCAGCATGACTTACAGCTCTGACAACGCAGCGTATTATATACCCGAGAGAGCGTTGCAAATCCGTATATTCATTTGAAGGATTAATCCCCGGAATCGAGTAGACTATGGGAGTGAACGAGCTCCGCGTATCATTTTCGAATTTTCGTATACACGCGCTTGCATGCCGCATACTACGTACGTATATCGAGATCCGAGACTATAGCTCCGCGACACGCGTACGCTCGCACAAAGCTCGGGGATGCGACGCGTTGTAGCAGCGATTAAAACGATAGTGGAAAGTTTTAGAAACTTTTGATCATCGACTGGAGAGAAAGAATGATCATTTCTTGAATGAAATGGGACGATTCTATCTTTGATGGATATGAAATATGAATGAATCGGGAGGAAAAAGTCGTAGTTTTTCGCTCAATTTTCGAGTGATTAATCCTGTATCATATAGGTGAGTGATGTGGTTTTCAGTCTGAACAGTTTTGAAGCGCTTTGAATCAGTAGCTAAGCTTCGGTATAAGAATATTTTGAATAATTTATTTTGCCCTTTCAGTACGAAAAACTTTAAAACTTTTATTCGACGCGATCTTATATTCTTTTTAATTCATTTATGACATAATAACTCGTTCGTAGTTCTCAAAGTCAAACGATTTCTCAAAACACGCATAATAGAAATTATAAAGTCAAGAACATAGTGACAATAATTGTTAAATAGATATTTTGTTGAATGAACTTATATTACTTATCTTTACTATTTTGTGTATGAGTTTCGAGAAAATAAACCTGCGCTGCCTAGCGGTCAATACAACTACTAATGCAGCACTCGGACGATATGACTCTTTTACCTAAATAGATTATTTTACTATCATGCTAAGATCATTAATTTTTTTTTCTATAGTAGAAATGATCCTCATTAGTAAAAGAAGTTAAAAAAATGTTTGAAGTACTCATGTAAAATTCATTATTATCGATACGAAAATATGTGTAGACTTTTGAGTATATTATTCCGAGTAATCTGATGTATAGTACTAACTGACATAAGCTATATAGATGTAAATCTTCAATTTTTTATTTTCCGATGAATTTTTATTAGATCTTCAAATAGATTAAACTCAACTCTACTCGAAGGAAAAAAAACAAACAAATCATTTATTCACATTTGTTCATCAAACTTTCGGTTGACCATGATGTATGTACCGGGACTCTAGTTTATTTGTGAAAGAAACTCGTTTAGTAATGTCATTGGGTTGATTTTTCAAACATGTCGTCAAACCTAAATTCGGAAATTAACGAGGAATGGGTTGAGAAATTTTGCTCTCCAGAGTCTCAATTGTTGCTATTAATAATGCGTACTTGCTGTATATGGCCTTTTCAAGATAAAAATCAACAATTCTTGGGAAGAATATTTATCATAATTATGTATATAATTTTTTTCATCGGTCAGGTACGTATTTTTGACATGACATAATACCACTTTTCCAATAATTTATCACGTGTTCAGGTTATAAAGATGACTGAAAATACAAAGGAACACGGTATTAATATTGGTCTTTTTATTGAAGATTTATTCCAAATAATAACTACATCAATGTTACTATATGTTTACCCGTTTATGATTTGGAATTACGATAAAGTAACAAAAAAAATTCAATCAAAAATCAAAATTGACCATTTGTTTCCAATACAATTAAATTATGAAATGCTTGATAATTTTAAGATTATTATGATTGTCGTTTATATGAAAAGAGTCCTGGAAAACAATGATAAAATTGGACAAGGCATGGTTAAAAAGTTTTACGAGAAATCGAATCGTTTCAGTTTTGTTGTTACCAGTCAGTAGTAGTTTTACGCATTCGTAATTATAATAATACAATAAAATATAATATTTTCTAGTGATTTTCATTCCAATAACAGCAAATATTGCATTTGCTCCGGTAGTTATTCCAATATTATTAACACGATTTTTACCAGGAAATCAAACTTTCCTGAAAGCTCTACCAGTTCATGCGCAATTTTTCATCGATGAAGAGAAATACTTTTATTATTTGCTTGCTTTTCAGTCCTTGGCTGTAATAATTTATTTTACGATAGTAGGAGGATTGTGTACTCTTCTATATTCAGGCGTAGGATTTATCATTGGTGAATTTCAACATTTGCAGTAAGTGAAGACTGCCAAGAAAATGCGTCGGTTGACGTTGAACTTCTTTCGCATTAAATAAATATAATTTTTATGTATTTTAAAAATTCACTTCTACTTTTTAGATATTATATGAAACAAACTGACTCTTGCTATGACTGCATGGTTTCTAAAAATAAAAAAAATGCTCACGACTTCCTTACCAATAGTCTTATGTATTTTATCCAACAACATCAAAGATGTATAAAGTAAGCTATTTTTGAATTTTAAAATGAAAGTACTCAATCTTAATAACTTGAATAGGCTATACGAAATTTTATTTTTCCTGACCGAATCGATCATGTTTGTGGCAATGGTTGGTACATCGAGTTGCCTCATCACAGCCTGCACTTCGGTGAATATCTTCAAATGAATCAATTGTTAAATAATTTTTCATCATTAAAAATGAAGAATAGAAAAATAATGTTTAACCCTTTAACGCCTGAAGTGACCATTTTTGGACAATATTTATAGCGATGAATTACACCGACTAAAAATTGTTTAAAAAACTTTTCAGACATCATTTCTCACGTAAAATTCAATGTACTTTTCGAATCCGGGGTCAGAATAAAAAAAAAATTATTCAATAAAAAGTTATAAACAATTTTGTAAAAAAAAAAAACCTGAAATTTCGAGAAAAAAATCTCGTTCAACTCAAATTTCAACACGGAAAGAACTTTCGGTTTCATTTTTGATTTTTGATTTTAACTGAGAACGTTCAAGAATTTTTAACTAGATAACCATCAACTTTACGAGAAAAAGTTATAGAACAAAAAGGGTTTAGAATTAATCAAAGAACACGCCTGATATTTTTCAGAATTTTTTAGAACGATTTTTGGATTTTTGAAAAAATGGTCTTATTCAGAAATCCAAAAATCGCTCCAAAAATTCTGAAAACATTCAGGCATGTTCTTTGATCAATTCTAAACACCTTTTATTCTACAACTTTTTCTTGTAAAGTTGATGGTTATCGAGTTAAAAATTGTCGAAATCATTTTATGACATACAGGTCTTCGAGAGCCGAATTTATGATCGCCATTTTGAATTTCGTCATTATAACTATTTTACAATAAAGTATAGCGAACCTTCTTTCCGTGTTGAAATTTGAGTTGAACGAGATTTTTTTTCCAAATTTCATGTTTTTTTTTTACAAAATTGTTTATAACTTTTTATTGAACAAAATTTTTTCAATTCTGACCCCGGATTCGAAAAGTACATTAAATTTTACGTGAGAAATAATGTCTGAAAAGTTTTTTAAACAATTTTTAGTCGGTGTAATTCATCGCTATAAATGTTGTCCAAAAATGGTCACTTCAGGCGTTAAAGGATTAAATCAATAATAAATTTAGATGGTGGTCTTGATGGATTCAGACGCAGTAATGGCCATAAGAATGTTGGTTATTAGCTGTGCTACATTGACTGTAATGTTATTTATGTGCGTCCCTGGTCAATTTTTGAGTGATGCTAGCAATGAATTGTTTACTGAGTGGTAATATTACTTCATGAATGAATACTCACAAAAATTTGGAATTAATCAAACTTTTGACATCCTCACAAAATCCTCGCAGTTATTGCGTCGATTGGCACGGGTATCATCCAAAAGCTCGAATGTTGTTAGCACTAATATTAGTAAGGACGATGAAACCTTTCATATTGAGAGCAGGATTTTTAGCTGATATGAGCTTTGAAACCTTTAGCTCGGTAAAGTTATCTATTTGCATATCAAAAATTCGTACGACTTTCTTCAATCATGAAATTTCATTTTAGGTTCTAAAAAAATGCATGTCATTTGTAACAGCTTTTAGATCAGTTTATGCCTCGCTTTGATTTTAAATTATTCAAATCATTGTTCCTTTAAAATATTATTGTAATAATTACTATGAAAATGGTCGAAAAATATCCAAATACATGCTCGCTCCTCTTTATGGACAAAAGATCAGATTACTATTTGCGTATATATAGTTGTATTAATTTTCTGAAATCAAATAAAAATCCATGTGACAAGTACATACCTTATTATAAAAGTATTTAAAAGAAGAATATAATAATTATCAAGATACTTACATCAATTAATTGTGAATGAAATCATGTGATTGGTATCATTTAATCACTTAATTTATCAGCCTTAATTTTTAGTTGTTTGGGACTAGGAACAAAAGCCTATTATTTTTCTAATTATTTGTTTGAATAGCATCAGAAAGATCTGAGTTTGTTCCTATATTTTCATGAAATTAAATCTTAAAAAGTACGTAATGTTCCCTTATTAGATAAAATAATAAAGTTATGACATAACTCGTCCAATACCATGAGACCCAAATTTTGACTAATTTTTCCACGTTTTATTTTTTTATGAAACCATTGTCAAATTAATGTAAAAATATCATGTATTATGGGATTCAAATCTTTTCAAATCTGGCCTCAGATTTATGATTTATGCGACCGTTTCAAAAATACATTTGTTTAAACACAAAAACGTGGTTTTTGAACATTTGTCTTTAAAATAATCATATTTTTCACCACGATTACGCATTCGAATCGGGTTAAAACTCTGGATCTGGTGGCATGTAGTACTATATTAAAAGTTAGCGGCGTTGGTTGGTTTATTCAGATTCAAGATGGCAGCATCAAAACAGCTGATTCGACGATTATCGGCTAAAAGATGATACAGCATATGTTATAATGCTATTCAGATTTTATGACTCGCTAACAATGGACTCTACGAAACAATGTTATGGAACGAAAATTTCTTAAAATTGATCAAGAAACACGCTTAAATTTTTCAGAACTTTTTGGGTGATTTTGGAAATTGTTATAAAATGGCCATTTCCGAAATATCCAAAATCGTCTAAAAAATTCTGAAAAAATTCACGCGTGTTTTTTTATCAATTCTTAGCAATTTTCGTTTCATAACATTTTTACGTAGAGTCCATTCTTTCCGAGTAAAAAAATACCAAAGCTCTTTTTTACATTTTCGGCTACAATCAGCTGTTTAGGTGGCTGCCATCTTGAATCTAGATGAACCAACGCCGCTAACTTTTAATATAGGACTGTATGCCACCAGATCCAGAGTTTTAACCCGATCCGAATGCGTAATCGTGGTGATAAATACGATCATTTTGAAGACAAATGTTCAAAAACCACGATTTTTTTTTGTTTAAACAAATGTATTTTTGAAACGGTTGCATAAATCGTAAATCTAACGCTAGATTCGAAAAGAGCTATAATAACCCCATAATGGTATCTTTACAATAATTTGACAATGTTTTCATGAAATATTGGACAGGATAATCATGTAAAATTCAATATTATTGATACGAAATTATACGTACAACTTTATTATTTCAAGTGGTCTAGATATTTAATACTAACCGCTATAGATAGATTTATGTCTTTAATTTTTTATTTTTCGATCAATTTTTAATAAAATTTGAAATAAATAAAAGTTGGTTTTCTTTGAAAATCCAACAAATATTATTTATTCACATTTTTCCATAAAACTTTTTCTTTGCTATGATGTGTGTGTTAGAGCTAATATTTATTCACGCAGTAAACTCGTACAGAAACATCATTATTGGGTTTATATTTCAAACATGTCGTTGAATCGAAGTACGGAAATTTACGTGGAATAGGTTGAAAAATTTTGCTCACCAGACTCTCAAATTTTGCTGATAATAATGCGTACATGCTGTATATGGCCTTTTCAAAATAAAAAGCTACGATCATTGGGAAGAATATTTATACTGTTCATTTTTATTATTTTTCTGATTGGTGGGGTAAGTATTATTTTTGGCATAATTTGGAACCCCTTTTTCAATATTTTCTTTTATGTTTAGATCATCAAAGTAACTGAAAATACTAAAGAATATGGTTTCAGCAGTAGTCTTTTCATCGAGGATCTATTTCAAGTGATAGCTTCATTGATGATGATATATGTTTACCCCTTCATGATATGGAAATACGATAGAGTACGAAAAAATTTTCCCATAAATATAAAGCATATAACCATTTAGTTTCAATTGATCTAAGTCTTACGAGAAATCGAATCGTTTCAGTTTAGTTATAACTAGTCAGTAGATTTACTTATCAGTGAAAATTAATAATTGTATAAGACAACTTAATTGTTTACAGTGTTATTCATCCCAATCACTGTAACCTTTGCATTTGCACCGTTGGTTATTCCAATTTTATCGACACAATTTTTACCAGGAAATCAAACGTTTCAAAAAGCTCTACCGCTTCATGTGGAATTTTTCGTGGACGAGGAAAAATACTTTTATCATTTGTTTGCATTGCAGTTCATAACTATAATGATATATTTTACCATAATAGGAGGGTTGAACACTTTTTTGTATTCAGGCGTAGGATTCATCGTCGGTGAACTTCAATACTTGCAGTAAGTGCATAAATGACGTGAAATTTTTGCATAACATTGATTTCTTTTTTCAAGACATTGATAAAACGAGTAAAACCTTAATTTTACATTTTAGATATTATTTGGAAAAAACCGACTCTTGCTATAGCGACATGGTATCTGAATGTAGAGATATCGCTTACAACTTCCTTACCAAGAGTCTTGTGTATTTTATCCAGCAACATCAAAGATGTATCAAGTAAGTTTTTTTTATGTTGAAAATTGACTGGAAAATTACTATTTTGCATTGAGTCTTTTATGAAAAATGAAAACACGAGAAATCGTTTTCGATTCAATAAAAATTATAAAAATATTATTAAAATTTTTTCGATACGAAATTATCATTTTTAAATGACTTGTAAAGGCTGTACGAAATTTTATACTTCGTAACCGAATCAATGATGTTTGTGACAATGCTGGGTACCTCTACCAGCCTCATCATAGCCTGTTCTGCGGTGAATATCATCAAAATTAATAAATTCATTGGAAAAAATTGAAAAAATACTTTTCAATCAAGTTCAATAGTCGATACTATAATTTTTTATAATTGTATCCATATCAATAACTCAGATGGTAGTTTTGATGGACTCAGACGAATCAATGGCTTCAAAAATGTTGGTTTTATGCATCGCCTCTTTGTCGGTAATCCTATTCATATGCGTTCCTGGTCAATTTTTGAGTGATGCTGGTAATGAGCTGTTTACCAAATGGTAATGTTACTTCATAAATAAAAATTCATAAAAAAGTGGAATTTATCAAACTTTTGACATCCTCATAACATTCTCGCAGTTATTGCGTCGATTGGCACGGGTACCCTCCAAAAGCTCGAATTTTGTTGGTCTTAATACTAGTAAGAACGATGAAACCTATGGAATTAAAAGCAGGATTTTTAGCTGTTTTGAGCTTTGAAACCTTCAGCTCCGTAAGACTATTTATTTGAGTATTAAAAATTCGTCTAACATTCATTGATGCTAAACTTCCATTTTAGGTATTAAAAAAGTCCATGTCATTTGTAACCGCTTTTAGATCAATATATGCTACGCTTTGATTTAAACATTTTACTGCAATGATCCTGCGTTTCTACTATTACTTAGTTTTATATTTACCAAATTAATTCAATAATAACGAAGAAAAAAGTTGAAAACCATGTGAATCTCTCACCCTGATGCACAAAAATTCACACTATTATTTGTGAATGTTCAGATAACAATTCGCCCAAGCTGATACACGAAAATTCACACTATTATTTGTGAATGTTTAATTAATAATTCAATTTACAATTAATTTTTTCTTCAATTTAATAAAAATTTCAGCAATTATATTTATCAATATTTTCTTTTCTTAACCTCAAGTAAACCCATTTCTATACATTTTTAAATGTAAACGTGCTAGCGTCGTTATATAAGTTTGGATAAGAAAAATGCAATGATTATCAATACATCGACAATGGACACTTTATAGAGCATTGGCAAGCATCTTTTCAAATCTTGTACGAACGACGATTATATGGACGCGAAAAGATAATTTTGGTTTGCAGCACAAAAATTTGAAGTGTCAACATTTTTGTTGGAGGGGGAAGGCGTAGCCACGTAGCTATCACTGTTGCATGCGGGTACACCTCGCTAATTTGTACGAGTAGTGCTTACAGTCGATAATGAACAGCTAAATTCCTTAGATGAGCAAGTGTTTACAAATCGATCAATTCGGCCTATAGTATTGGCTATTCGCTGCGTTTAACCTCAAATATTTTCTCTGTGTAGAAAGTGAAAATTCACAGTGTTACATATAATATGGAAAACGTCGGAGACATAGTTAGGTATAACATTTTTGTGTAATGAATGATATTTTACAAAGCAATCGCTTTATCGCACTTTATTATTCTGCAGAGTGAAGAAAGAGCCGAAAGATACTTGGCCAGATGCAGGAGACGATCATAATTTTGATTCTTTGGACTTTGACAACTTTGAAGTGAAAAACGTTGAAACATTCTTGGGTTATAAATCATCGGTGAGTTCAATAATTTGATCAATGTTTTGTTTTTCCACTACCAGAAACTATTACACAATTGCAATTTCAGGCAAATCACATTAATGAGGTTATGGCGTTACGCGAAAGGTTAGATGAAAAAATATTCATTGATTTCGAGTGCAAAGATGTTAAACTTGAATTGAAATCTCTACCGTCAAGCATCTGTAAGTAAAACTGAGAACGAAAATGTTCCGTCCATTGTGAAAATAGAAAATCAAAGTCACACTTACTGCTTGAGTGATGAAAATCAAGTAATTTTGATCAAAAACGAATTAGATGATCAAGTTCAAGTGAATTCTCACATGAAAGTTAAGAAACACAGGGAGATTAAAAAGTTAAGACAAACTTTTAGAACCAAACAATCACACGAGTGTAAAATGTGTCAGAAAACTTATAAAAATGGATCGACTTTAAGAAGACATATCTGTACGACCCATGAAAGCATTAACCCCTTCGAATGTGAAATTTGTCACAAATCATTTGAATACAAAAGAAACCTCAAAACTCACATAAATACAGTACATTATCGAAATAAACCCTTTGAATGTGAAATTTGTCACAAATCATTTGGTGATAAGAGTACCCTTAATAGACACATGAGTGCAATACATGTTCGTATCAAACCCTTCGAGTGTGAAATTTGTCACAAATCATTCGGACAAAAGTGTACTCTCAATAGACACACAAATTTAGTACATCATCAGATTAAATCCTTTGAGTGTGAAATTTGTCACAAATCATTCGGACAAAAGTGTACTCTCAATAGACACACAAATTTAGTACATCATCAGATTAAATCCTTTGAGCGTGAAATTTGTCACAAATCATTTGGAGAAAAATATAAGCTCAAAATTCACATAATTGGAGTACATGTTGGCAGTAAACCTTTCGAGAGTGAAATTTGACACAAATCATTTGGATACAAATCTAACCTCAAATCTCACTTGAATGCAGCACATAATCGTAGCAAGCCCTAGGAGTCTGTGATTGATATGGATGTAATAAAGACTTCTGTAATTACATGAGTACATTATGTAATTTTACAAAATATTTCGTATGAATATTTTTTAATTTTGTAAAGAGTTATTAAGTATTTGAAACATGAATCGTAAAGAATACTTAATTGAAATAAAGAATAATAAAATACTGGAAGTATGTGAACAATTTCCGTCTTCAATTTTTTATTATTTCTGTAATACCACTTCCTATCGGTATACCAGAAGAAAATCTCAGCGTCACAATTAAAACGATCACTCCCAGAGGCTATCTCATACTAAAAATGTTTAAACCCAATTTCGGTCTTTAAATGTCCGAATAAATCTTTTTTATTTCATCATGTTGTAAATCTTACATATTATATGTATCTTATTATTGTCCTTGTAGGATGTATTTTAATTGTCGAGCCTAAGTGACAGAAAGATAGCACGATCACGATGACATAACGAGCGCCTCTGATCTTCCTCTCCGTCGCACTGTATTGAATGAATGAATCGATACGCGCGTGCCAATCTTCGTATAAATTGTATCATGTAAACTATTACGACGTTACACGTCGTGAACTTTAGTTCATTACCATAAGGCTTACGCGCGCTCAGTTTCTGTTACAAAAGAAACGAGCCAATTCAAATTAATGAGAATTACACCGCTCGCTTTGGTGGAAAATTGCCCCACGAGGCCTACTAGAGCCACATTAATACACGGCGATATATTATACATGAAAAAAGAAGGTAAGTGATTGATCGACCCACGAGAACGCCTCGAAAAAAAGGGGGAGGTGGGGTAGCAGTAATAGTATTTCCAAGTCCATAATTATTTCCACCGATAAACTTCTCTAATTATCGAGGCTCTATACACCTGAGCCAAAGGCGCGCGCAACAGTAGCAAAAAAAAACAGTATATTACGTATAAAGCTGCGTATAACGAGGAGGGGGAATCTCTTCCTCGTCGCTCGCTCGCGGAGCTTTTAATCGAATCTCGAGCGAGCGCGCTAGCTTTGCGTCTTATTAAAATAAACTTTTGCCTGCGCTTACTGCGAAACTACTGTATACAAAATACATATATATAGCCTCCTCCCGCCAAACAACAAACAAGTCGCTAATGAAAGCTCATGAGCTTTAAGAAAAAGAGAGAGAAAGAAAGAAAGAAAGCTAGAGATAGCGCCGAGCTTCCGCGAATCCTACGTGCTGCCGCCGGAGCTTTCGTCTCGCCCGCGTCGACTAGGCTCTGTATATTATACAAGAAACTGACACAATGCACACAGACACACGCAGCTGCAGTGTGCGGGCAATGAAAGACGTAAATATCTCTTTCTCGGTGGGTGTATTGTGTATATGCATCATCGTATACAGTCTGTGCTGCAGCAGACTCGGCTTTCTTCGTGTGTCTCGAAGGTTGAACTTTTGAGCCGAGCTTGCAGCAGCAGCAGCACGCTTCGCTACGATTTTTAATTTTCCCTATTGCGCCCAGACAACGTGTACGTAGATAGATATGCATAAAAGAAAAACTATACGTACACACGGAGCATTATTTCCTTTTCTCGCTCCGAGTTATTACTCACAGAGAGCGAGCTCGAGAGCTTTTTTTCAACCGATACAAAGAGCGATTGTTGCGTTGCTATGTAGATGCCTTTTTTTTGTACAATTTTTTTTTTATTTCAACTCTTCCAAGTCGCTCCTTCGAAAGTATACACGTAAGAAAATTTTGCACACGCTGCCTATAAAGTATACCTCGCAGTTTACATAAGGTATATACAACCATGATAATTTCGTGCCACTTACCTTCTCGCGTTTACCTTTCGTTTACCCCATCATCGTACACGATTGTTATAAGCTCGCAGATCCGAGCGCGCGCGGCATAACATATAACGATGAAAGTTTTCCCAGCTTGTTTGTTGTATTTGATGATTGTAAGTCCGTAGTTGCAGGAGGAGCTTATAATCGAGGATCTGCACACCTAACTCGCGAAACTTGGCAATTGTTGCTTGCGTAATGTGTATAGCATCGAGCTTTTCGCCACTTTGTATCGATCCGGCAGTTGATAATACGCGTATGGCTTAACGAACTATTTGAATCGCTCGTAAGAGGACGAAAGAAGACAACTTTTCTTTTCTCAATTACTTCAGTTTTAGTATTAGGTAGGCAATTGTAATCGCATTAAATGGCCATAGGTAATTGTAATATCGTATTATCGAAGATACGACGATTTAGATGCGAAATTTGTATCGAGCACTTCGCACAGCTCGAAAATGATCGATATTACACGCTGCAGGAAATCGCTGGAGCAAATATAAATTTCTAAAATATATTAGCCGCCCCATACGTACACACGACATATTGGTCAATTATCGGGCGGGGCGAGCGCGAGCGACGATTATAATAATAACGATGATAATGATGATAATCATTTTTGTCAACAAATGTGTGCAGTGCCTTGCTATGCCGTTACACGAGCGCGTCTACAATAAGGGAGGCAAAGTACAAAGGGGTTGGCCCTCCTCAATTTGAGCAAAAACGATCGTAAAGCTCGTACGTGTACGTGTATGTGTGTGTGTTGTGTAAAAGGCGTCGACCTCTTACGTGCTTTGATATATACGTTAATGAAAGGAGATGGCCCTGTATACACAGTACCTATAAACACAAACACACGACCATACGACGAGGTACAGCAGCGCACGTGATGTAAGAAGTCGTTTACTCCGGATGAATAATTGGTTTTTCACCAAAAAAATTTATAATGACGAAATAAGCGTTTGATCGTTATAATTCTATTTTTTTTATTTAATGCGACGATACATAATGTTTATTTTTATTATTTGAAAACTACTTTTACAATGAGAACTTTATGCGTTGATAAAAACTATAATAGATCTCTCTGTCTTTGTACACTTTTGTTGTTTTATTCACTTTTTTTTTGTTTTTGTCCATCGATGATTATACATTCGTTATAGTATTTTCGACTAGGATTCGAAAGTCAAAAATATGAAGATTTTTGAATTACAAGAATATAAAGAATTTTAGAATAGACAACAAGCTACAGCTTTTTTTTGTATTTATTATTTTTTGTTTCACAACAAGTTTTTTCGATCGATTGCATAATTTAAAATCACATCACATGTCCATCGTAAAGACATACTATTATTAAAATCCTATGAATTAACGTTCCCAGATATAGCTCTTAATACGTAGTGAAAAATATCGTTACACAAGTAATAATCATAAAAATAAATGCTACACTAATCAATTCGACAAGCCGGGGTATTGAATATGCATTACAATTCGCTTTTTTTTGTATCGAGTCGATATAAAAAGTAACAAATATCATGAAAAAGAAGAGCATTACGTAACTTTTACGAATCAATTGATAATTAACGCGATCTGCCTCACGGTTCAGCACGGATATTCCCAACATCTGACACCTATCACAAAATGAAAAAAAAAAAAAAAACAAAGAAAAAAATATATCCTTATCTACACACACACAACTGCTGCTGCTACGCGTACATAGAAAAAAAGCTCCTGCGCCAAAATAATGAACCTTCCTCACTTTCTCTCTTTCTCTCTCTCTCTCTAAGCCGGCGTCTTCTCCTCGGCTTTGTCTACGGCCTCGACCACGTCGTCGGGCACTACGTAGCCCAGGCTCTTCATCTCCTTGACGACTCGGGGATTCTTGCTGAGCGCCTCGATCCACCTGTAGTAGGGCTGCTCGTCGCGCCTGCCGCCGTACTTCTTGGGCAGGTACTCGGGCGGTATGTGTCTGTGCAGGCTCGACATGTCGTCGCCGTGGAAGAATATCTTGGCGTTCATGCGCGCGTCGATCAGCGGCTTGAACACGGCGAACATCGTGTCGAAGATCCAGGACTGGTGGAGTATGTGTATGGCGTGGGTGGTGAGCGGGAAGGCCGTGACCATCAGCGATATCACCATGCTGGCCACCTGTTTTGAAAAATAATTTTTTTTTTTAAAGTTGAAGATTATGTAATTTTTCGATTTCAATGACTAAAAATAAATTCATTGAAAACGTTTAAAATGACTTGAAAATGGCGATTTAATTGTTTCGCGAAATTTAGAGGACTTTTGAATAATTTTCAGTCTTAGCCACTAGATGGCGAGTACCTTTATATGTAGATATGCAAGTGGCGATGTAAAAATAATTGTATAAGACAAAGCATGATCGTTAGAACTTATAGTTTTGTAGTACGATATTTTCTTTGGAAATTGACACGAATTTTATAAAGACAAAAAATAGCCATCAAAATTTTATATGATCTTTAATGTTTAAAAATACGTTAAACTATTGGTCCGTTTATGTCTAGTTGTGAAGACTTTTCAGTTTCAAATTCATGATCCCTCATGTATTTGATTTTCATATTGCATTCGGCTACGAAGGTCACTATCCCCATTGATTATATGTTAAAAAAATTTAAATGCCATCAATCAATGAACTTCACAGCCGAATACAATTATTTATGAAACTTTTTCTTTGTCCAAAGGTCAGCAATAAAATATCCTGCATTTATACCAGAAAATTAATCAAAGACAAAACCAACCTGGGGCGTTATCGTCCAGGCGTGGGTCATGGTGATGCCCTCGAGATCGAAGACGACGATGCCGCCGAGTATCTGGGCGCGCGGCTCCAGCAGGCCCAGCTCCAGTATGATCATCGTCGCCTTGAATATCTCGTCGACGGAGAACTTGCGCGGGTCCCAGTTGCCCATGCGATAGATCATCATGCGCCGGCCGCACGGGGTGCGATAGGCCGGCACCGACATGATGTCGTCGTCGCCGATGTGCCTCATCTCGATCGGATTCACGTCCACGTGGATCTCCGGGTGCTCCTCCTTGAATGTGTAGTAGCGCACGACCTGTAAAAAAAAAGATTTAATCGAATGAAGCGATGCATGAATATGTAATATATATATATATATCACGAGTGTGCGCCGCACACACACACATGCACGCATACATATGCATAAGGTGGCTGTGGCTTGCAAGTGCGAAACTAGGTCGTCCTTTAGACGCGCGTCTTTTCGCGCGCGAACGACATATAACCACGCCAAAGCGACGCATAATGAATTATATCATCGGACCTGTGCCACTGCTGCTGCTGCTGTGTATCACTTGAAATTTTGAAAGCTAACAGCTATATATAAGGAATTCGTGCCCTCCGAGTGCAGCGAACGACGAGGTGATTTACGTAATTATTTATGGTTTATCGATCGTCGCACTATACTGGCTCAAAAGTGGGAAATGACGATATTCGAGAGGGCCACTAGTTACTAAGGGACTCGGAGAAAATGGTGTTATTATATACGTATAGTTATTTTCGTTGAACTTTCGAGCTTTATATCGATATCGTAGTTGTGTGTGTGTGTGTGCGAAGCTAGCCAATGAGATGCAGGCACACGAACTGATAGGGCGAATTCGTGTACATTATTATATTATACGGAGCAGAGCCAGCAGAACTGGCAAAGGGCCAAAACTACGGCTCGTCGTTTTATTTTAAAATAATTTTTCGCTCTATCGAATTTTCTTTACTCGTATATAATAAAGTAGGCGGATAACACGTCTCTCCTTCTCTCTGGAGTGTGTTTGTGAGTCCGGACTCGCAGATTCGCGCGATAAGGATGTTATACGGACTGCCGCTGTGCGCCAAGTTGCCTCTCTCTCTGCCTTCCCAATTATTAATAAACTCGAGAGGATTCGACTCGATTGACATCGTATCGAGTATACGACAATAACAGCGACCGATGCGACAGATGCGGAGCTTTGATTGTATTACGCGCGATTGTGTGTACGAATACGTCCGCGTGGTCTACGTGATTTTTTATTTATCATTTCGTTTTGTTTACTTTTTTACCTTTATCGTTATACTTTGTCTGTTTTCCCCCCAGAAAAGTGTGAGGTACTACTCATTGGAATCGTATATTTATGTAGATAAGCCATTTGCGAGAGCCATCAATCAAGCCAACACACAAATTACTGCAAATGAGTGTCTATGTAGCTGCCTGCTTTTTACTTATATAATTTTAATCTGACTTTGCTGCTTGCGGATTTACAGATTGAGTACTAGCCATCTAGTGGTCTAAAGTGGCATTATCGTATTTAAAGTGGTTGAACATTTTTGTAAAACAACTCACGTGTAATTTTTAGGTCATTTTGAATGCGTTTAATATATGTAGCATATTTGTAACATAAAAATCGCCAAAAACTATTTTAAAACATTTTAAAAAGTCATTTGAATAAAAATTTCTACCAGGCGTGCTATGATTAGAAATATACAAATACGTATGGCAATAACTTTGAACAATAGTAAACAATTTTTTTTTTCATCAATTATTTATCGTCGCAATTTAATAAAACTATGATATAGTCCAAAGTTATACGTTTCGATGATCGGGCGTATTTTAATTAGAACCAGCTTGAATCACGTCATATTCGCGTGAGCGACTTATATACTTATTATATAATTGACGCGAGAGCTCCAGGTATATAACAATCTGCTCTTCGTAATGATTCGCGAGGCTCCCATTCTTTCGGTTGAAATTTTCAGCGAGTCACTACTACATTCCGATCAAGTATGATACATACCCTGTCTTAGCGAGATCATTTTGAAACTGAATTAAAAAATAATAATAATAATGATAATAATCGTTTCGCTGTTCGAAGCACTCACACACACACACACACACACACAATCGGATCCTGAAACTAAGTCCCGTACAAAGAATATTAAGAATGAAAAAAAAATCGAACGCCCGGAAACAAGCGGCCGCCAGCCATTGTGTACGCGCGCCCGACGTATAAGCCATGCGACCGCGCATCAATTTCTACATAATTCATTTTCCAGCTGGGCTGCTTTCGACAGATTATTATTATGCGTTATCGTCGTCATTATCAAAGAATATATTCTGTATATAGGTTATACCTATTATTATATCAAAAGTTTACTAACGATCGTGGCACAATTTTCCTGGACGCGCGGCAAAAGCGTACGAATGAACGTCGCATTGATTTTATATTCACAAAACAGTGGGATAACAAGTCATCATAGATATTATGTTGAATGTAAATTTTAATATCCACTTGTCTCTAATAATTATTCATAGAAAAAAAGTGAAATCGAGCTTGTACTTTACTTGCAGAGTTTTTTTTCCAAATTTGATTATCAAAATTAAGCTTGAGCACAACAACAGCGACGAGCGAAATCATGCCCGAGCCGAAGGAGAGCGGCGAGTTCATCGCCTCGGACGAGGAGTTGGCGCTCGACCTCGACTTTGTCCCGGTACGGACGAAGTTTAGGATTACGCGAGGCGCGAGCTAGGCGAGACCGACGAGGTCAAGTGCCAGACCATAAAAGAGCTCAGAGTGATGATTTTCGGTATAAATGAAGCATCGACAATTTTTTACAAATTAATAGTTAAAAATTGCTTTGTCTTATATCATTTTTGTTACTATGCCACTTGCAGATTTACAAATTTAAAGGTACTCGCCATCTAGAGGCAGATGCTTAAACTATCTGTTTAATTCAAAGCGGTTTAAAACAAGTCTAACTTTTTAAACAGTTAAAGTGTCAAATGCTCTCAAGATTTGTAATCACAAAAATTGCCAATTATTAGTCCATTAATCGTAATGTTTTTTAAAACATTTCTGCTAGGGTTATATTGAAGAATTTAAGAATCCCTTACATCCAGCCGACCGTATTATAAATACTGATCGCTAGTATGGCTATACCGAAATAATTAACCAATGCATTTCAGAGCTTAAGAAATTTTTTATAAAAAAAATAAAAACCTGACTGTAATTGTACCATGCTTGCATTGTAATGAATTTATTTCAAAATGAGTTGAATTGTTATTCATAATTATTTTAGACATATCTTTTTTAAAGATATGATCACGTGAATTACTTATTCAAAGCTACCGGATACCGTTTAATTTACACCGTGGTAAATGTTTTGTGGTAAAATATTTGAACATGAAGAAGATTGGTTGTTATGTATTTGTTTTATATTGTCTTTCCATCTGTATGACAAAATTTTTTCTTTGCCTTCGTCCATGGTACTAATGGTCAATACACCGTTTCAAAATATTTATATCAATTTTCCATTACTTCTAATTATTATCGTACTTATAAGGAGCCCACACTACGTGCGGGTGAACAATTCTCACTAAAAATTGTATGTGGTTTCCCGGTAATATTTATAGAGCTCTACTTAGATTGATTCCATGGGTCTTGAGGCCCATTTTTAAAAGCGTTTTCTATTCATTCAAAAATCTTTGCTATTATCTGTGTCGAGATAGAAGCATTTAAACGAATAAAGTGAAGAATAAAAATTTTTTTTAATTTTTCGAACAATCCTGCCTAAATTTTTTAAAATTTTTGGGACCTCTATTTAATTTGACGTTTTTTACAGATTTTAGGACTTCTTAAAAAGGGTGGTAGAAGATCCCAAAGATTCTGAAAGAATTTCGATCGATTCTTGGAAAAATTTTAAAACTTTTTTGTTCTTTGCATTTTTTCGTATAAGTGCTTCCATCTCGACATATAAAATAGCAAAGATTTTGAAATAATTAGAAAACGCTTTTAAAAATGTGTCTCAAGGCCCATGGGATCCAACTAAGCATACTGGGCTTCATTAATAGTTACCAGGAAGCCGCATTAAAATAGTGGTAAGAATTAGTCACCCGCACCCCGGGTAGGCTCCTCTTAAGTGCGATAATAATACTTCGAGCCTCCACCGCTAGATGGAAAGTACCTTAATCTGCAAATCTGCAAGTAAAAAAGTCAGGATAATTGTATAAGACAAAGCACGATTTGTGTAAAAACGTTACTGTAGATAAGAAATTATATCTCTCTATACTCTGATATAAAATACGTAAACTTGCCACTAACTTCAGGCTTTCGGGTAAATAAAAAGTATGATCAACTGGGGCAGATATGATTGAAAATTATTTTACACGTTTGCATTCATCCTTCTAATTTTCAAAGTTTTCGGAAACGATATTGTTGTTGGTAACAAATTTTAAATTCCAATGACTGAATTTGATTTGATTGATTTTTACATTTCAAATGTAGAGAATGAAAAATACTTATCGTCAAATAACGATGAATAAATAGAAAAAAGCAATACATGCGCATAAAATGTTACTGGCAACAACATGACAACTTCGAATGACGCTTTCTATGCCACGAAAACCTTATCACCCACCAAAAATTGACCATAAAACGTCAAGCTCTCCTACCACGGGATAACATAAAAAAATCATCTCGATTGTATACGTGCGAAGGATTACGAGGCACGAAGCAGCTAACAAGTCTCCTTAATACCTGTTGAGTGTCCCGCACACACACACACATACAATATCGGTAAGGAATTGGCTCGAGCTCGGTGCGTAAGTATATATTTTTATTATGTGCGTCAAGTAAGGCTCACCTTGACACAATCATGTCTCTCTCGCAGCAGCAGCAGCAGCAGCAGCTACGCACGCAGAGTGAGGTTTTTCTTTCTCGCGACACACAGACACACGGAATTTTCCCAAGTTCGATATAATAAATCGCGCGGCCCGACGACGTGTGGCCCATACGAAGAAGGACGCGTGGTGTACCATCGTATACGAGATCGAGACGAAGGAAGAAAACGTCGTTCACGACGATACCGATAGTAACAATTAATAATATTACGAGAGAAAATAAACGTTAGAATTTTTTTGCTCTCCTCTATTTATCCTATACATAACGCGTCACGTTATAAACATCTTATATATTATCACACATTATCGCGTGCGCATTAAACGTAATAAGAATGAGCGACTCGAGCTTCACCGGGCGCCGCAAGATCCTCTCGCAAGGTCGCGCGAATCTCGCACGTTATTACATATTAAATTTTCCATGTGCGTGTGCGCGTGTATAAAAACCCGCACCTTCGTTGCAATATCGTCGTACCAACTTACCAATCGATGCGCTCTATTGACATTGAAACTGCGCGCTCTGAGAAAACGCAGCAAGAAGTCGTCGTCCATGCGGTGGGGCATGCACTCGCCGCGCTCTGCAAACGAAACGAAAAGGAAAAAAAAATGTGTTATAGAAAAATTACAAACTTGTCAACGAGAAAGAAGAATAATAATAAATCATGCTTATGTCTTACGATAATTATAGTAAAACGCGCGGTAGCGCGAGCCGTAAATGTTTCTGCTTTTTTTTTCTAGGCATCGTAACATTTGTGTCAATAAGTGCGCGGCTAAAAATAAACGAAGCTTTTTTTTTCTCCATCTATAGCTCGCGATGTTTTTTTTTTGTCATCCTTTTTTTTCGTTCGGAAAATAGAACGAGTGCTTTGACACGTACCGCGTGATGATCGTGCGCAGCCTTCTTAAACGATTTAATTATCGCTCTAGCTATAGCGTCCTTTACTTTACAATACGCGTGGTCCGAATTCTATTCGACATCTATTTTTAACCGTTAATTAGTAAAAAAATCATTTGTGTCGTAATACATACCGTAAATCATCTCTCTGAGCTCGTGTATGGTCTGGCACTTGACCTCGTCGGTCTCGCCGAGCTCGCGCCTCGCGTAATCCTGAACTTCGTCCGGGACAAAGTCGAGGTCGAGCGCCAGCTCCTCGTCCGTGGCGATGAACTCGCCGCTCTCCTTCGGCTCGGGCATGATGATTTCGCTCGTCGCTGTTGTCGCGGTGCTCAAGCTGTCCTGATATACCTCCTCGTCGTCGTCGTCTTCGTCGTCGGATTTGCTATCCTCGCAGCAACCGCTGTCGGCTCGATTCCGGTTGGATGGATCGTTGTTACTCGTGGTCGGCGGTTCGTTCGATGACGCTGTCGTCTTTTGTAGCTCGTCGGTGATCAGCCGGTGGCCGCTGCCCGATGCATCCTTGGCGTCGAGCGACTTTTCCTGCGCAAAAACAGAAGAAAATCAAAATTTTAATACGGGTAAGTTTACTTCAAATTTGATAATTTTTATCATTTACATAACTGTCAATCTTCTACTGTCTATTTTCCCTCAAGTTTTGTTAAACATGTTTGGCTCATACAACCAATTTTTTCAATTAAAAACATTACATCGTTACTAGTAATTATCGAGCAAAAATAGGAACAGTGACCTTATAAGTTTCATTTCTATTTATTTTTAATAAGCAGCAGCTGCTACATAAGACACAAGCGCAACTTCTGCACACAAACGAAGGAAAGAGCAAGAAGAAGGATCGAACTCTCCAGATCGAGTTCAGGATCGCGGCGAGCACGAGCATAATAATTTTATAATCGAATCGAAAGCGAAAGTGCCGACTACCACCACTGCACAGACACACACGCTGTAAATGTGTGGGTTTTGAAACATCAGCTGCTCGACTCGTACGGCGGCGAGTGGCGAGTGCATCGCGTGAGCAGCTCTAGCTCACATAATATACTATATTGTCAATTATATCTTTGCAACACGCGCGTGCGCTAGCATGCAACTCGTGTCTGTATGCGCGCGTGCCCTCGATAGAAGAAATTCCATTCAGCCACATAGATATATACCCAGGAAATTCGTTGAAAGATCGAATAATAACCATAATACGTGGTATATCAAAGTATATATCAGCGACGAGTCATCTTTCATGTATACGAAACAAGGTTAACAATATGTAAAATGAATTTTCCACCGAACGCGAACGATCCGATCGATCGGCGCGCGAGGGGGGCGCGTCTTCTGTATTTAATCACGAGGGCATGATAATATTATAAATACCCCATTCGCGCGCGTTGGCACGTCGATTCCGTCCTGAAAGGCAACCTGTTGCGCGTACATATACATAGCAATCTTTTATACATACACGCGTAGTATAGATGCGCAATTTTTCAATTCCCGAAGAGATCGCGAGGCGTGTGGAGTTCGACGAAGCTGACTTCGACATAATGTAGGCTTTTTATAAAACATGAATGGAAAACGGGGGCGGATGTGAACGCGTGTGTATGTATGCGCACGGAGGACAATAAGTTGCAAAAGCGGGTCGTCGTCGACGTCTTGGAGGCGCTCGACAGTCACCATTTGACGATCGAGATAACAAAGAGAGATGTATGTACGCGCGTGTACGAATGTCATCACGAAATGTGTTTTTATTATATACGTTATCGCGTACCCAATAAGCGATGTCGTCGGCAGCGGCTCCGTGATAGACTCCGTTCTCGATTTTAGACATTGTCAAACCGATTTTTATGGATAAATCGGTAAATAGTAACGTCGAAGCGTGTTTTATGCACGGAGCTCCTTTATTTGCATCAGAGGGACAGCTGGAAAAACTTTACGCATAATGCGCGCGCACCACGTGCATACGACACACAAACACACGAGCACTCGGAGAACACAATTTCACCGATATCGTATCGGAAAAACTTTTGATTCTTTACGCGGACACACAGACACACGCGATTTTGCACTTATAGTTACAGGGACGCGTCGATGCGCCACTACGACGCAAAACAAAAAGCAACAACAACAACAAGAACAACACCGAGCAACGAGCGAAATAATACTGCGGTTCGTAAAGCAGCTCCAGCGAAATAATATAGCGGCACAGCGGATGGAGCTCGACTGACGCCTGCAACGAGGCGTGATGCAACTAAAGCCGAGCAACAACTCCGACTCGCCGCTGCTATACGTGCTGCATTATATACTACTATATATATATACTATGCTATGCCTCGCAAGAGCGTATACGTCTGTCTGTGTGCGGTGCTTATGGCAAAAGAGTATGTTCCCTATGCGAGGCAGCGAGCTCTCCTATAGCATAGCACACATACAAACGAGGCAATTGTGCGGATCGAGTCTTGCTTTACACGTGTGTATGCGTGTGTGTGAGTGTGTGTATTATATATGCATTTAAACTCCGAGAGCGAAAAAGAGAAAGATATATATATAGGAGGAGGACTGGTGTGCATGTGTGCGAGCCTGAGTGTGTTTTATACCTGCGCTCATGCACACACGAGCTCGAGACAGGCGAGGCCATGTGTGCCGCTGCTGCTATACATACCGTATGGCATATAATATAACAACAACGATCGCGCCGAGCCGAGCTATATCACGAGTTCCGAAGCTTGTAGTTATTATGCTCATTATTTCGCGCGCATAGAATCGGCTCTGACTCTAAGATTATTCTTCTGTACTCTGCCACGATTTGTCATGCCGGTATACTGTCTTTGAGCTAAGACTATTGTATCGTTTTGTTCTCCTTTATTTATTAATCTTTCTGTCTTTCAATGAATCATTCAAGTTTTACAATTATCGGCGTCGAAAAGCGTCCGACGCATACACAGGTACGATGCACTATATAATACAATTCGAAGCACGTGCTGGTGCTGCGCGGGTCTATAATATGGTCTCGCGCGGTAGTAAAAGAAGGAAAAAATTCCAATCGCGCGAATTATTGCGAGCGCGCAAGGACGGGACGAGGGGGGAGGCAATTTTCAACGCAATCGATTCGCAGTCGTATACGTAGTAACTAGTAATAGTTGGTAGTCGTCGTCCTTATTATCCCGCGTTCTATCGAAATTGCAAACGCTACGTTGCTCCTAGATCATCGGAAAAATATATATATATATATAACAATGCTATTATATATTGTGTCTGCTGTGAGCCATCGAGTGAGAGTTTCATTGCGTATATAGTCCATTACAATAATCGTACGTGCAATTAGAAATACGCGCACTGCTACGACGACGAGGATGGTAACGAGGATGCGCGCGTAGTTTTGCGGTAACTAGCCAACTTCGACCCAAATAAGCTTGAACCATTGGACTCGCGCGCGTTTCGTCATTATATTGACCATTTTTCAACGTGCCATCTTGGGTACCTATGCGAGTGCGAGAGAAGAGGAGGATCGTCATTGTTACTCGATGCAGACAGAACGAAATTTTTTTGTTGAATATAAACACCGTCGGGTGCAGGTTCTGAGATTTGGAAAGGCTCGAAAAGGGACTCGAATATGAGAATCATATTGAAACAATCCAAAAACTTGGTTGTCTTATAGAATCATTTTTACTTTTCCGCTGGTAAATTTGCAGATATAAAGATACTCGCCATCTAGTGGTGAACTCTGCATTAGATTATGCCGGAATTTTCCCAAAATTCATTGGGTAATTTTAAGCAAAATATTCTAATTGGTGAATAAAATTAAATTTTTCCTTTCGTTGAGCATTATAATTAACTTTATTTTTGGGATATTTTTAGGCAATTTATGTAAAAAAAATCCGTGTGAAAGTCTCTTCGATAAAGTTCAATATTGATTTATTCCAATTTTGATGTTTATTCTTATATATATCAAGTATCTGCCTCGAATTTAAGAGTTCTTTTGATTGTGCATTTAAATGATGGTCAAACTACTGTTTTTAATAAGGTCATAAAATCATTTAAATATGGGATATATTAGTTTATTTATTTGTCCATTTTTTGAGTTAAAACTGAAGTCAAGACAAATTAAAACACAAAAGCATTCACACGATTCATGTCAATTTTATTAAAACTCAATCTGTCACTTCTTCTAATGTACAAAAACTAGTCTCACAATCAACGTTTCGTGAGACAGACGCTAACCTCTTCAGGATAAAAAATAGTTTACCAATTAAAATTAATACATGTGGCCTGATCAAGTAGTCACAAGTCCATCAATCCATTGTGATTTATTAAATTGTTATCTTTTGAGCTTTTTGCGGGTACCAACGATACGGAATAAGACTACTTTTAAAGTATAAAAAAGAGTCCACGTATTAAATAAAATTATGTATTTATAAAAAAATTGTCACCGTTAAAGAAAAATGACCTCGTGGTCTCTCAAATAATGTACGACTAATTGCACATCGAGTTACATTTTTTATCGTTGTAAAATATTAATGCTTTTAATCGATTGATGAACATTTTACAAACGCTTACATCGGGTAAGTTAAATCATGTTTTTTTTCTAATGTCACACGTATACATGCCCTTTTAAATCAAGATGGATCATAAAACTGATCCTGATTTTAAGAAAACTCTTCAAATTTGTACAAAAATATGGGAAGAGAATTTTCCTTGGAACCTAAGGATTTTGAAGATCACTTTTTTATACCCTCTCCAAAATAAAATTGTGCAAATACTAGGTAACCTAACCGTATGTTCCATTCAGTTTATTTCGATAGTAGTCACGGTAAGTGTTTATGAAACTCTTCTAATAACATTATCAGTATAATAAACACTGTCTACTTTATAGATTCTAGAACTCATCAAAGAAAAAAATAATGGAATCAAAGGCAGCACCTTGGTTGAAATAATATTCCAACTAACAGCTTATATAACTGTGACAATTCTTTATATATCCCTGATAGGCTCTAAAAAAGATGTAAGGCATTTTTTAAAAATATTTTTCGAATCGAATAGTAATGCATATTTTTAATTTCTGATCAAAATAAGATATACTTCAGCGTAATACTGATGTCTCGAATGTGGTTGACAAACTTCGAGGATACACAAGAAATGAAGATGAAATTTTTAAAAAAAGGATATGTTTTATGTACCTTTCAAGCAGGTCAGTAATTACGGTTCATTTGTAGTTTAATCATATGTATTCATGAGGATATTTTTCAGGATCAATAATTTTATTACATATTATTTTTGGAATAGCTCCAATAGCTATTCCATCTTTTCTAACTTGTGCACTTCCAGGCAATCGGACATTTGAGAAAATTCTTCCTCTTCACACTGAATTTTTCGTCGACGAAGATGAATATTTTTATTATATTTTATTAGCTCAATTTGGGTTTACATTCGTTTATGGTTTAATTATATGCGCTATGAATTGTTTCCTATGTTGGGCTGTAATTTTAATTCTTTGTGAAAATCGGTGTTTAAGGTACGCACTAATCGGTGGAAAAATGTTTAAA